TCATTCCAACATTCATGCCTGCTGTTTAAAAAAACCTATCTACTAGTTTTCGTAAACCTTTTCTGTGCTTGGTGCAGGTTTTGATCTGCAAATCTAACCCAGTTATCACAGCTTCCCTTACTGGTTTCTCAAAACCCTCGCTTTGGGCACCACAGTCAGGTATGCAGCATTGCAGCAACAGTCCTACTATTACTACCAGTTCTCTAGCAGCTTCACTTCTCCACACTAGGTCAAAACTTCCAGTGTCCTTCAACAAAATTTAATTTGATTAGATCACAAATCAGAATGGCGTACTTTAGAGATTGCTGCTCTATAAATCTTCAAGGGCCCCATTTGTTCAGTTTCCTTTCTTTTGAATTGAACCTCAGACTCCCACAAGTATTCTGCTCAGTTTCCAATATCAGAAACATTTCAACTTGAACCCGCAGCAATGGCTCCTAATTGTTTCTGTTTGAAACTGCAGTTCTCTCTTTTCTGGGAAATATCATGCAAATGGTGCTGAAACTATCAAATTGACACTTCAATGAGTTTCTCCCCCCTAGTAACTGGAGTACATGGGCCTGTCTTCAAGCTGAGGTGTTTATCAGAGAAAACATTTAAGTGAAGTTCACCAGATTGATTCCTGGAGTTGCAGGTGTGTTACATGAGGAGAGATTGGGTCCATTTTTAAAAAAATATTTATTCACTTGTGGGATATGGGCATCGCTGGCTGGCCAGCATTTATTGCCTATCCCTAGCTGTCATCTTGAACCACTGCAGTCCACATGCTGTAGGTTGACCTACAATGCATTTAGGGAGGAAATTCCTAATTGGACCTAACTGGACCTGTATGCACTGCAGTTCAGAAGAATATGGGGAGATTTCATTGAAACATACAAAATTCTTACACAGCTGGACATACTGAATGCAGGGATGACGTTTCCCCTGGCTAGGGCAACCAAAACAAGGCATTAAGGTCTCAGTATATGCAGTATGCCATTTTAGACGGAGAAGGGTGGTAAACCTGTGGAATTCTCCATCACAGAAGACTGCAGAGGCCAAAGCATTGAATTTACTTAAAGAAATAGATTTCTAGAGGCTAAAAGGATGTGGAAAGCAGGGTTACGGCACTGTGATAGAGAATTAGGCACAGCCATGTTGAGAACAAAACAGGATTGATGGGCCAAATTGTCTATACCTGTTTTCTATCAGCATGTGACATAATTTGACACTGTCTCCTCAGTCAAGTGTTTATCTTGCTCTGCTATACTCGGTTTATTATGCTATGACTCTGAAGAAAGCATCTGCCTCCACAACAAAACTCTGCAACCGATACCAATTAACAGACCATTCCTCCCAGAGTGAACAGTGACGGCTCAGACAATTACTGCTGTTGTTTAGGCAGCCTCCAACGTAACCCATCAGCAGTGAAAAGTGGGAGAAATTGAAAATTAGTTAGAAAGAAAATATAACCTTGTAAGGCATTCCAGATATGCAATGTAGAGCTGTTACAGAGAGTGGGAGAAGTGGAAAGAATTCCACCCTATGATTCCATGACTTTCAATGACATTCAACCTTTCTTTCAAATTCTGAAGAAGTGTCACTGGCTTCGAAACGTTAATTGCTTTTCTCTACACAAATGCTGCCAGGCCTGTTGAGTTTCTCCAAATTTTTGTTTCAGATCTCCAGCATCCACAGTTCTTTGTTTTATTTTAAATTCCCATGTCTTCTCCACATTTCATGGGAGCCCTATAGAAACATCACCAAAGCCAAGATGCTGCTTTTGCTGCTCTCATTAACACTGACAAAAATACAATAAAACAGTGGAATGGGTAATGGTCAATCTAGGTGAATCGCTGGATGCTGTTGGGGTCCACTAACAGCCGACAATGGATCAGTCATCACAGAAGCCCATATGATGATAGGGCCTGGGACGTGGTAATAAAAGACATCAACGAACGTCTTCAAGCCCTAAAATTACTGAAGCTGATACTAAATCCTGAAGGCTCCAGGATCCTCAAGTGGAAAACAAATTGCTATCTTCCAGCTTGCGTTGAGCTTTGCTGGATACTACAGCAAGCCTGAAACAGTGATGCTGGCCAGGCAACACAATGGTGTGATGAAATTGCAGGCAATCAGAAGCTGTCATTTTTGTGGACAAAACATAGGTGTTCTGCAAAGCGGTCATTCAATTTGCATTTCATTTTCTCAGTGTAGAGGAGACCATATTGTGAGCACTGAATGCAATATACCAGATTGACTAAAGTGCAGGTAAATTGCTGCTTCACCTGGAACGTGTGGCTGGAGCCTTTAATAGTGGGGAGGAAAGAAGGAAATGGGCAGGTGTTACACCTTCTGCAACTGCATGGTAAGTTGCCATGTGGAATTACGGTGGTGTTGGGAGTGGAGGAGAAGTGGTCCAACGTGACCAGGAGGGAACAGTCCCTGCAGAAAGCTGACAAGGGAAGAGAGGAGAATGCTGGTGGCATGCTGCTAGAGGTGGAGGAAATGGTGTCTTATGATCCTTGGGATGTGGGTGCTGTTGAGGTGGAAAACAATGACCAGTGGGACCCTATTGGTTTTGACTGGTAAGGGAAGGGATGAGGGCATAAGTGTGCGAGATGGGTCGGACACAGCTAAAGGCCCTGTTGACCTCAGCAGCAGGGAATCCTTGGTTGAAAACACAGTTGAAATAGAGTCTTTACAGGAAGCAGGTATGAGGAAGTACAGACCAGGTAACTGTGGGAATTGATGAGTTTGTAATGCTTATCCCCAGAAATGGAAACAGATTTTGAAGATGGGGAGAGAAGAGCTGGAAGAGAAATTGATATCTTTCCAATTCTGGATGAGGGAAGCAGCATCGATAATGTCAATATACCAGAGAAGGAGTTGTGGCAGGAGCCCCAAGTAGGGCTGGAACAAGAAATATTCTATCTACCCCACAAGGAGATAGGCATTACTGGCATGCTGATACCTATGGCCACAGCTTCGATTTGAAGAAAATAAGAGGTTTAAGGAGAAGTTATTCAAAGTAAGAATGAGCTTGGAGGAGTGGGGAGGTATACAGGGCAGTTCAGGCCTTCTTCCAGGAAGAAGTGGAGGGCCCCGAGATCATCCTGATGGTGGCTGGAGGTGTAAAGGATTGCACGTCCATTGTGAGGAGCAGGTGGCTGGAGTCTGCAACCTGGAAATTCTGAAATTGGCAAAGCATCAGAAGAATCACAAATGTAAGTGGGAAGGGACTGGACAAGGAGAGGAAAAAAACAGAAAATCAAATCAGGTAGGTACAGAAGTATTTGTGGGGCAGGATCACGTAGAAACAATGGGTCTGCCCAGGCGGTCCTCTTTACGGATTTTCTCTGTAGCATCTGTTCTGATGATGCCAGCTTCTGCAAGGGGCCACTGAAACGTCCACCTTCTTTCTCAACTGACGGTTCCCTGCTACCATGGTTGACAGGGCCCTCAGCCACATCCAATCCATCTCCCGCACTTATGTCCTCACTCCTTCTCTTCCCACGCAAACATGGATAGGGTCCCTCTGATCCTCACCTGCCACTCCACCAGCATCACATCTAAAGGATCATAAGCCACCACTTCCACCACCTCAAGTGGGATGCTGTCACCAGACACATTCCCCTTCTCTTCCTTGTGAGTCTTCTGCAGGGACCATTTCCTATGGTATAACTTGGTGCACGCCTCCTCCATTCCAAATACCTCCCACATCTCCATGGCACTTTCCCAGCAATTTGCAGAAGGTGTAACAGCTGCCAATTTACTTCTTCACTCCTCACAATCGAAGGCACCAGACACACCTTCCAGGTGAAGCAGTGATTTACTTGCACTTCACTTACTCATCCACTGTATTTGCAGTTCACAACCTGGTTTCCTCTACACCGGGGAGACAAAACACAGATTGGGTGACTATGTTGCAGAACATCTATGTTCTGCAAAAATGACAGCTTCTGATTACCTGCAACTTCAACACACCACTGTGCTCCTTGGCCAATATTTATGTCTCAGGTTTGCTGCAGTGCTCCAGCAAAGCACTTTGAAAGGTCAGTATGCACCCAATGGGCTGAATGGCTTGTTTCCAGACTGCAGGGATTCTACATGAGGCATAGTAAATTGTACGGGCCTATATTTTTGAACATGCCTAGTCAAATTAGTGTGCTGTGAACGGTTCATGCTTAAATGGATTTGACCAGAAGCATAAAAATGTAAAAAACAGGAGTAGGTAATTCTAAAGCCCACATTGCATTAATGAATAAAAGAGAAATTCAGCCTTTTGAGCCCAGTCTACCATTTAATGAGGTCATGGCTTCTCTTTCATCACCAATTCCTACATTATCCCTGTATCCCTGGGTGTTACTTTTAAAAGTGGAAAGCTATCCATCTCACTCTTGAAAATACTCAACGACTGGGATTCTATACAGTTTTCTTTTTAGTGTGTGGGGGGGGGGGGGGGCGAGTGCGAGAATTGAAAAGATTTGCTATCCTCCGCGAGAACAAGTCCCTCCTCATCTCACTCCCTGAAAGGTTGCCCCCTCATTCAGAGGCTGTGATCTCCGGGTTCTGGACATGGGTCTGCGGAGGGGCGTGCTACATCCACCCTGTCGAATCATTTTCGCATGTTTGAACGGAGATCACCTCTTCACCGAGGAACACAGGTATGAGCTCTCTACTTAAATCCTTTCCTCGTAGGGTACATCCTTCTCCAACCCCCATCCATCCAGAAAAAAGTAAAACAAAGCACTGGAGATACCGACCCGAAACGTCAACTTTCCTGCTCCCTCTGATGCTGCCTGGCCTGCTGTGTTCCTCCAGCTCCACACTGGAGAAACTCAGAAGGTCTGGCAGCTCCTGTGGTGGGAAAGCAGCGTTAACGTTTCGACATTCTTCCTCTCCCAGGAATTTGGAGCGATGAAGCCGCGATCGACTCCCTTTTATGGCAAGGAGAATCGGCAGGAAGATAAGAACCGCCGACTTCAAAACGGAACCACTTGGTTTTCTTACAGACTCACCATCCATGGTCTCCCTCACCGCGTTCAGATTAGCGGCGTTCGCCATTGCTCCACCTTTCACCCGGAACCACAGCCGCCCGGTCCCCGCCCATTACATCACCACATTTTAAAAAAAACAAAATTATAAAAGTCACCGGAGCGAGCGGGGAACTGCGGCAATAAATCTTTTGAAATGACCGGTCGGCGTCCAACCGATGAAACGGGATCGTCTTGTTATCAGTGTGAAGGTTTTCCTCTGGGTCAGAGCGGCCGTTTAGAATCTTGGCTCCCGTTTGAATCTGATTGGTTGATGCTGGCCCACACCCGCCGATTGGCTGCCGACTCGCCGCCCGAGGAGACATTCCGATTGGCTAGCGATAACCGGGACCGGTGATTGGCTGCGGTTCTTGCCAATGTTTGGTGTCTGATTGGCCGTCACCATCGGAAGCAGGTGATTGGCTGTCCGCTGTCGCCAGGCGTAGCCGCTGATTGGCCACTGGCTGCAGGAGGGACATTCAAGGCAACGAACTCGGTGAGAGGAACATTGAAGGTAAGATATACTTAAATATCACTTAAAATAGAGAGAGAGACTTGCGTCAAATAGTGTGTAAAACGGAGAGAAACTGGGATGGAATATCATCAACGTCTGGTAAAGCAGAGAGACTGGGGTAAAGTTTCATCAATATCATATAGAATGGAGAGAGATTGGTGTGAAATATCACGTAAAACTGAGGGAGCCTCGGGTGGAATATCATCAATATGTAAGAGACTGGGGTAAAATATAATCAGTATCATATAAAATGGAGCGAGACAAGGAAAATATCAATATCTTGTAGAACAGGGGAATCGATAAAGTATTGTCGATATTACCTAAAACACGGAGAGATTGGGTGAAATACTATCTACATCATGTAAAATAGAGAGGAACTGGGGTGATATAATATCAATAACGTTTAAAACAGAGACATACTGGGTGAAATATTGTAAACTGGCGAGAGACTTGACTGAAAATATCATCAATATCACATAAAACAGAGGGTGGAGTGAAATATCAATGTCATGTAAAATAGTGGTAGGTAAAATTATCATAAAATCTTCTAAAATAGAGAAATGGGTAAAGGATTGTTGATATCATGTTTTTGTTGAAGATTCTTAGGACACTTGAAAGGGTAAATGCAGAAAGGTTGTTTCTCTTTATGAGTGAGTCTAGGAGCAGAGGGCTTAATTTCAGAATAGGGAGTCACCCATTTAAGTCAAGGATGTGGAGGAATCTCTTCTGAGGGTAGTGAATCGGTGGAATTTTTTTTATCTGGAGGGCTATAACAGGCTGGGCTATCAAGCACGTTTTGTGTTTGTGTACAAAGCATCTTCAGCATACATTTAATATATAGTATATATGTGTGTATGGTATACTAAGTATATAAGGCTGTGATAATCTGTAAGGGAATCGAGGGTTATGGGGAAAAGGCAGGAAAGTGGATTGACGATTATCGGATGAGCTTGCTCTCATTGATTGGTGAAGGAGATTCAATGAGCTGAGTGACCTACTTTGCCCATATCTTATGCTCAAAAGCACAGTATGTGTCCCTGCATCACACAGACAAGTGTTTCAAGAAAATAGTTCACATTTAACTTCTCCAGGGCAATTGGGGATGGACAATAAATGCTGGCCCAGCCAGCGATGCCCACATCCCGTGGATAAACATTTTAGAAAAATTAGTCGAGTCCTTGAATATATAACACAGCATGAAAAGCTGAATTATTTATTGTATAAAATGTTTGCTCAACTAGAAATTAATTCCAGTTCTTTCTATGTGAAGAACCCAAATCTGCATACAATGGTTCTTGGACAATGGATACAGCAGCTAAACGAATTATGTGAAGAATGTCATTAGTTACTGTGACTTCACAGAAGCAAGATATGTAAGCAGATGTGCTGTGATACACTTGCCGGTGTATTGCAGTTATCATAACATGCTTAGGCTAATTAGTACATTAAAGATATCTGATTAGTAAGGACCTTTCTCTTAAAAAAAAATTTTCAAGATTGTTCTTTCAGCTTGTCTGGATGAGGCTGAGGGCTGCAGAGGGGATAACCTAAATGATCATGGCAGCACAGTACACAAAGCCACTCGAGGTGGGAGTAAGAAAGAATGTAGTTGTGGTAGGACACAGGATTGTGAGGGGGATTAACAAAGTTTTCTGCAGCAAAAAGCATGAGTCCAGACAATTGTGTTGCCTGACAGGTGCCACAACTTGGGACACCTGCTTGGGGCTGGAGAGGAACTTGCAATGGGAAGGGAAGGATCCAATTGCCGTGCTCCACATCAGTACCAACGACATAGGCAGGACAAAGAAGGAGGCTTTGCATAGTCAGTATGAGGAGCTGGGTGCAAAATTAAGAAGCAGAACCTCAATATTCATAATCGCTGCATTATACTTGAGCCACTTAAAATCTGGCATAAGGCAAATCATACTTGACAGTTGAATGTATAGCTGAAAGACGACTGTTGTGGCAGAAATGGGTTCCAGTTCATTGGTACTGACATCAGTTCTGGGAAAGTGGGATCTGGACAGATGGACCGAAGCATTTTGGAAATTTTCCAATTTTAATACTTAGTAATGCAGAAGAGTCCTTTCAGACTTGAAATGTTAATCTTATTTCTCTCTCCACAGGTATTACCAGATCTGCTGAGATTCTACAGCATTTCCTGTTGTTTCCAATTTCCAATATCTGCAGTATTTTGTCTTCATTAAAAGAGTAGGTGTGAGACTTATGTGAAAATTTGACATTTAAAAAAAAATATTGTATTCTTATTTCATAAAGATTCTTGTTTCCCCAATAATAGAAGTGAAAAGGTGCTACTTACTATAAGAAAGAGGAATGGGAGATTTGAAGAGTGAGACCAGGGTACATGTAACGCCAGACACACCTGGGCGACCTCCTGTCTCAAATCCTTTTGAGAGCCCCAGTGATTATGCAACATTGCATGAACCAGTAGTCCCTAGTCCCTCTGTCTTCAAATTAGTGAAAACACCTGATTCACAGGTATGTTTGACACTCCTTAAAGAGAGAATTCTTTTCTCTCATATTGAATATAAAATATTGTAATTTAATTGATTTTGTGCGCAATACAAATTAGCAGTGCGGAATTTTAAGTTTTTTGTTTTAGGAGAAAGGATTTTTACCATATGAAAACTATATTTGAAAGAGTGATACCTGGTTGTATTAGCCAGTAGAAAATTAAAGTTATATTAAAGACATGGATAGAAGTTAGAGGAAATGCTTTAAAGCAAGGAAGACTCTGATTATCAAATTTTCAATACATTTGTTTGGGATCACTTAGTCTGTGGTTAGTTTGAAAAGTGCCAGAAAGAGTGCATGTTCTTCAGTTTAGCCCATATCATAACATTGAGGCTAGCACTGAGGGAAGAGCTGTACTGGTGTTGACTTTCACTGCATTCCAACAGTGACTACAATTCAAAATACATTTCATTGGTACTTTGAAGTAAGCTGAGGTTTCAGAAACCAGTTATAAATGTAAATTATTTCTTACTTATGTTGGATAGTTTGAAAATATACTATTTTCCTTGCTTAGACACCTGGAAAATTCAGATGGTCCATTGGAGAGCTTGCCATCCTGCATCCAATTGAAATTGATCCAGAAGATGTTCACCAGCAATCTGCATACATGAGCTGCACCAGGTTACCAGTTTTCTCTACTATGACTTGCACACAATGCAGCCATTAGATCAGCATATATGTAATTAGATTTTCTTTCTCACTTACATGTATTAGAGTTTTGTTTGCCATTTCGATGGATAAGATGATGAGGTACTCTAGAGTCATTTTCTTGCTTGTGTTTCAATTCCGTGTGATTTGACAATATCAGCATATCCTCAATGAATTCAGTATGTGATTAAGGCTCCTTCAAAAGCACTTTCCAAATGCACACCCTTTATCACGTAGAAAGACAAGGGCAGCAGATACATAGGAACACCAGCACCTACAAGTTCCCCTGCAGCCACCACCATCCTGACTTGAAACTATATCACCATTCCTTCACTGTCTATGGGTCAAAAACCTGGATCTCCCTTCACAACAGTGCAATGGGTCTCCCTACACGTTTAAGAAGGCAGCTCACCATCAGGACAACTAGGAATGGACAATAAATGTTGACCTAGCCAGTAAAGCCCATAAATTACCCATAAGAACTATGAGCGGGAATAGGCAATTCAGTCTCTCAAGCCTGCTCCACCACTTGATCATGCTTGATCTCATTTCAGCCTCAACTCCACTTTCCTGCCCACTCTCCATAATCCTTCAACTCATTACTAATGAAAAATCCATCTCCTCCTTAAATTTACTCGAATGTCCCAGCATCCACTACACTCTGGATTAGCAAATTCCACAGATTGATGACCCTTTGAAAGAAGTAATTTCTCCTCATCTGTTTTAAATTTGCTATCCCTTAGCCTAAAACTATGATCTCTTGTTATAGATTGCCACATGAGGAAACATCCTTTCTACGTTTACTTTGTCAATCCCCTTTAGCATCTTCTATCCTCTCATACTTCTCAACTGCAGAGAGTACAGGCCTAAACTGCTCAATCTCTCTTCATAAAACAAACCCCTCATCTCTGGAATCAATCTAATGAACCTTCTCTGAACCGCTCCAATACAGTTAAATCTCTTCTCAAGAAAGGGAACCAAAATTATGTGCAATACTCCAGATGTGGTCTCACTGATGCCTTATACAGATTCCTGCTTTTATACAGTACTCTTTTAGCAATTATTATCGAAATTCAGTTTGTCTTCATTATTATCTACTGTGTCTGTATACTAGTCTTCTGCCATTCATGTTCTTGCATTTTCTAGCATATAGGATTCTGCAGTGGTTTAGATTTGCTTTAACCTGTAATGACTTTAAGCTTAATTCCTTATTACAGCATACTAATACCAATATATTGCTGTTTCCAATGGAGCAGGTATTTCAAGTCTCTGATTATGACCTCTGCAGATATAAACTGTGCAGTCTCCATTGTTATTTCACCTGCATTGATTGAGAGACAAAATCTCTAATTACATTATTTTCTAATTCAAAATTAAATTGTAAGCTACAGTAATTGACACAACAATATTGCTTGTTTGAAGATTTATATTGAACAAGCATGGAATTTCCTGTTAAATTACCAGTTTTTCTTTGTATAGTGCTAGAGTTAATTTCAATGTCAGAAGACTTATAACAGTAATATTACATTTCAAATTGTATTTTTTTTTGTTTATACTTTTAGATTAGATAATGATATTGAGGCAAGAAAACAAAAAGCCATTGAAGAAGTAAGTGCTCAGACCAAAATAAAGAAATGTTTTAATTTCACACTAATTTGAAGTAGAATCCTGCCAGCAAATTCTACTGACAAACTGGTGTAAACTTTCTTCTCCAGCGAATGGTTTCTACACAATTCTTGAAGTACTATACATTCATCCACATACATATTGGCCACATAAGCCAATATTTTTCATTGATCTGCAATGCATGCCAAATGTGCATTCATACCATGGAACAAGTTCAAAAGTTTAATTCAGTTTTTTAGAATTAAGGACATTGAATGTAGAGCACGATTTGAAAGGTTAACATTTCCTAACTGAATTATTTAACAATGATAAGTTTTTAATCGCTTCATAAAAATTATAGAACGATGTAGAACTGAAAGAGGTTGTTTGGCCCATCACCCTATTGGTCAGGCTACCCAATTTCACAGCAAATATTTTCCCTTTCAGCATTTATCCAAATCCCATTTGAAAGTAATGTCTGAATCCACCCATCACCTTTTCAGACTATGGTTTTCAACTCGCTGCAATAGAAGGTTTGAATAAAAATCATTTCACTTCTGGTTTGTTGCCAAACCACTTTAAATCATGTAGTTTCCAGTTACCTGCTCTTATGTCACTGGAAATAACTTCTTATTTCCTCAATCATATTTCTTCATGACTTCAAGCTCTATTAAGTCTCCTCTTATCCTGCTTTTAGAAGTATCCTAGCTTTCCTGGATTGACGACCTAATTGAAGTGTCTTGGTAAATATCTTCTGCGCTCTCCCTAAGACTTTGACATCCTTCCTAAAGTGTTTAACTGATCACTTTAGATCTCTGATCTGGAGGTGCCAGTGTTAGACTAGGGTGGACAAAATCAGAAGTGACACGACACTAGGTTATAGTCCAACAGGTTGATTTGAAACTGTTGGACTATAACCTGGTGTCGTGTGACTTCTGACTTTACTTCTCTGGCAGGGTGTTTAATTAGTAAATTGTCACTTGTGATGACTGAGCTACTGGACTTGGATTTGTATCGCACAATGCTAGGAAGGTATTTTTTAATGTTTGATTGTCATTCTCAATGTCAGTCATGTTGTTTTGGGGAGACCCAGTGGATTGGTCTCGGGGTAGAATCAATGAATGATTTTAATGTCATGTGTATTTTAGTGAGAAAAATAGGAAAATACAGTGAAAAGCTTTTCCACTGTCACCATGATCTAGTGCCATTTTTAGTAGTTTAAGTATAAAAGAAAGAGATAGCTTAAAGAGAGTCCATCAGTCCTGCGCCAGCTCATCGTCAGTGACGCCTGCGCCACTATTCCCTCCCCCAGTGCCTCACTGCCGTCTACACCGAACAGAACCAATGTTGAAGTCACCACTCTTCAGGCACTCTTTCGTTGCTGGGCCGATTTCTCTTCTGCCACCACCTTGCTGCTGCCTGCACTGGACCCACCAATGCCAGAGTCATGTCTGTTGCCACTGGGTCCACCCTTGATGTCGCGGTGTTGCCTTTCCGCCACCGTTTCGCCGCCTCCAGCAGCTGACCCAAACAACAACTGTGTCGCCGTTTCCCAGGTGCCATCTTTTGCCACCGGGTCTACCTTGCTGAGATCACCTCCGCCAATGTAGCAACTGCTGATTCCAATGCTGGGTCCCAAGCTCACCCTGGAGAAGGTAAGTAAGGGCTCACTTGCCACAGCCATGACGCCCATGCTGGACCCACTTGAGTCCACTCGGGGCTTGCTCACCAATGCCATGACGTCCATGCCAACTCGCTCACTGCCACCACCAATCCGCACTGGGATGCCTTGCTGCCGCCAATGCCGTCTAAGCTCAGGGCAAGAGATAAGTGAAGGAAAAAGAAGAAAATGAATCAAAAAAAGAGGAAGAGAAATGTGGTCGGAGCGGATGAGCCGCGGCTAATCTGCTGCCATCTTGTTGACAAAGTAACACAGTGGGCCATGTGTATTAGAATCATAGAGACGTGGCGTCATACAGCATGGAAGCAGACCCTTCAGCCCAACTCATCCATGCCAACCAGGTTTCCTAAACTGAACTAGTCCCATTTGCCTGCGTTTGGCCCATATCCCTCTAAACCTTCTCTACCATGTACCTGCCTAAATGTATTTCAAATGTTGTAATTGTACTTGCCCCCATCACTTCCTCTGGCAGCTCGTTCCATATACGCACCATCCTCTCTATGAAAATGCTGCCCCTCAAGTCCCTTTTAAATATTTCCCCTCACTTCTTAAAGAAATTGTTAATTGAAAAAAAATGACTAGTTTCTGCAAATGTTATGATGTTCCATGACACTATATAACCAGCATATGTGGATTCATAATGATTTTACTGAGAATAGACAGACCATCTGCATAAGTTGTGTGACAGAAACCAGTGCAGTATTCACTGTCATGGGCACAAGTAATGAAATTTTGTGTGTTTTAGTTATTTGTACCAAAGATGACATACATAGAAGGTTTTATAGTGGAGTAGTTTGCCATTGAAACTTCCTGCTGCTTCGTTCTTTTTTAAAGACGTGCTACAAGGTTTATAGTCTGTCCCATGGTCCTCACGTTTATTTGCTATTCGATAGCTGATTCCAGTAATGAGAATTCTTCTTCAGCTTAGGCGATACTGCTATGTTAAATATTGTGTCGATAATATCACACCCCATTTTGTAGGACTAGGGGCTTGCTTACAGGAGTGGCCTTGAGCACAACTGATGAGAGCAATATCTGGTGAATCCCTAAAATTTTATCAGTTTAAGTAGTGTTCTGATGCCATACTGTAACATTACTTGAAATATCAAGTTGAGTTTAATGTTTCAGCATATAATGTATCCTAAGGTTTTGATTTATCTGTCTTTTTATCTAGTTTTTCTTGAATAGTGTCATTGTCCCTTCTCCTTGGACTCAACCTGAAGGGAAACCGATTCTACAATCCCATCGAATCAAATGTGAGTCTTTTTAAAAGTATCTGAATGTCAGTGATTATGTTTTAATTTTATATATGTAGCAACGTTTTTCTAAAGGCCTTCTTTCACAAAAGTAGACTTTGACAATTAATTCATGGATGGGGAGGGTATTGGAGTTGTGTGGATAAGGACATAGCTTGTATTTCTCAGTCAGTGGTTTGCATGTTGTTTATTCTTGGCTCAATATATTAGATTCTGTCAAAATCAAGAAATAAGTAAAAAATTAAAACTCTCTGTGTGCTATGTATGTAAAATGGAGACATTAAACACAAAGGTAAAGGATTTGTTTGATGCCAGGAGTTGTGCTGGGAATGCAAGCTTTACAAATATTCGGGAAACTAAAAGTGAATGATGCATAGTCATGTTTGATTCAGCACAGCAAGTTTTATCAGTGTAGCAATGTTTACCTCAGTAAACTTGGAAGATGTAATTTCACCGTGAAATAAACTAAAATTGTCCACAGTTTGTGCATTTAATTGCAATGACAGTTTTTAAACTAATATAAAACTCACATTGTTTCTCAGTGAATAAATTTGACTTTTGATCAGTTTTCCAAGATAACTTTGCAAAGAGTTGGTTTGCAGAGTCACTTTACCTGCTAATTCATAAGGCACTCTCCTGATAGTTATACCGATAAATCAGCAAGAAATGCTGGCCAGCCAGCGATGCCAACATCCCACAAATGAATGGAAGAAAAAAATAATTATCAAGAGTGGAGAAAGTCCAGATTTTAAATGTTCAATGGTTAGGAAGTGTACACAAAAATATCTAAGGTTCCTTGTCCCTAATCACTTTACAGTGAAGTCTTCAGTCAGCTGTGTGTGGATGTTGCATCAAGCTTATTTATGCCTATGTATTGTCAAATACTTTTCTGACCCTACCTAAGTTTATAACTGACATAACTTAGGACTGCTGTGTATTTGAGTTGTATCCCATTGTGAGGTTGGGATGTTCGATGTTCAATGTTCATGGGGTTTTAGTGGAGCTGGGGATCTGCCAGTTGGTGGTTGGGTGGCAAGGTGGAGAATTGTTAATCAAAGTAAGTCCAGATTCCTCTATTTGTACTGTGTCCTCGATTTGCATATGTTTTTGTTTTCCTGTTGGCCGTTAGCTTTTCCTTCAATCCTGTTGTTGTTTCTCACTTGTCCTGAATTATCCCGACAAGTGTAAGATGAAAGGCTTTGAAAAAATGCCCTTTTTTTTAAGCAATACTCATGTTCTGCATTCTAATTCAGCATTTTTTCTGATTCAGTTGGTATCTTTAAGTGAGATTTCACCTGTTTTTAAATTTTAAACTTGATTGTATCTTGAGCCTTAATGGAACATGTAGTGCATCTAAAGCAATTGTGTTTCTTTATTTGTCATTCTTTAAAGGTTCATCCTGGGAGAGGAATTCTTCAGTTATATCGAAAGAATCTGTTACATTACCTGGGATGCATAATGGTTAGTAGTTGTCATGTAATAGCACAAGGAGTTCTACAACTCAATTGGTGAAATTTCATGAATCATTTATTGTGTATGTGTGCGCGTTCAGTAAAAGTGCCAATCTGAACTCAGAATTCATTTTTTTCAATGAACTTAAAATCAAAAATCACACAACTTATTTTACATTTTACAAAATGTAACGCATTGGATAAGTAAAACATTAGGGCCTCGTTATCTCTTTAGCTTTACTACCTCACAAATTTTAACTTAATGAACAATGTAGTATCTGCTTCATATTGATATATGTTTTGCAAGCAAGGGGAGCACATACATGAATATCTCCATCAGAATGATGGAGCTTACTATATCTTTATTTACGGGAAAATAACAATCTAATTCAGTGCGAACTAGTACTAGTACTTGCACTGGACATGATGAAGTAAAATTGTAACAAACCAAACTTGCCTACCCATTTTTGTACTTCATATTTGTTTTGGACCACTTTGTGTTTTTGCTGATTTTTTTTTTTCCCCCTCCGGGAATGGCAAGGAGGAGAGCATTTAACTGTAATACTGCATACCTGCCCTAGATTTTGAATAGCATAATTGAAAGCTTATTAGTCATGAATTGCCCTACAATATAATTATATCCAACTGTTGTTCAAAAATGAACATACAAGATAATAAGCACATGCTATATATGCAACTGAATTATCAAAGTTGTAGTACTACAACTGTTATGCATTTAATATCCATTGTGATATGAGAACTGAAATCACATGGATCCTTGAAAGTCAGAGCACAAAAATGCATCATTTAGTATATTTCTCTACAGGAACCAAGTAGTCAGATTTCATACTATGCTTTTTTTTAAATATTTCCCTTTTTAAGGAAGACTATAATTTCCTGGCAAAATAAATTTGGACTGATTTTAGTTATGGTTTGTGTTGGAAATTTCAACAGTAAAACACATTTTACAAAGAATTTCTTGAAGAAAGTGTTCCCTTTAAGTCTCCATTCTTTGTAAATTGTTTCAATGTTGATTTAAGGACCGACCTGGTTTGCTCTCCAAGCATGTTTAAACTGCTGCTTTTTGCTTGTCAGTAAGCAAATTTGGAAGAATTGTACATTTTATCAAAACATATAAAGTTTAATCTCATAAAATGTGCTTTTAAAGTATAAGTTTAGAATGTTGTCTACATTTTTTGGTGTGTGCCCTTAAGGTAACTTGTCACAGGTAGTACTAAAAAATCTTCACTAAATTATTCCAGCTACGTTAAAACCTATTTACAGTCTCAGCACAGGAATATTGTGAACATTAAAACTGTTTTCAGTATAGGTGGAGGCCATTGAGTCAGCATCCATTAGAACAGAATCATAGAAGTGTTACGCTACAAAAGAAAGCCATTTGTCCCACTGCATCTGTACCAATTCTCCAGATGAGCATCATGACTTAGTGCCGTTCCCTTGTGTATTGACACAGGGATAGCAAAATAGTGAAATTAAATATTCACTGATCTCAAAATTGCCCAGTTGTTCCTAACTATACTTTATGAATAACAGTTATCAGACACCAAGTTTATAAGTTAAATATAAATTAACAATTTATTGTTAATACTGTAACTTCACAGCAAAGCCAAACAACAGGTAATCTAATTGAGGTTTATGATTTAAACCCATTGTTCATTGATTGTAACCCCCACACTCCAAATTACAGACACAGTTAAGGGATAAAGTTTTTAAGAGTTGTAATTTGTCAGTTTGATGTTAGCTTCAGTGATGAGTATGGAATAATCGCACAATGTGCTTTATTTCAGACACAAAGGATTGTATCTTGCTTGAATTCCAAATTCACCTGTCAATACAAGTAGCTTCCAGCAGGCTGTGAGGAATATTCATTTATTTTTTATGAACTGAGATTCTTTTCTCAGAATATTCAATAATTCTTGAATTGGAGATAAATCTAGAGAGAGTACACTACCTTCTGCTCAAAAAATGTTATGGCAAAAATCAGTCTAATCTATGGTTTCTGTCTCTTTTTTTCAACTTTTTCTGTGGTTGGCTGGCCAGCACCGGACTCCCCTTAATTGACCAATGCTACATCCAACCAACTTCTATTTCTTGAGCTTAACAGATCCTGATGCCAAACATCTGCAGTGTTTTTAGAATAATAGTTAACCTGCATTATCTTTCCAGGCCATTTCCCATTGCAAACATTAGTTTGTTCTCTCCTTATTTTTTAAACAAGTTGGTATTCAAAGTTCGATTCTCAACTTAGTTTGCAATTCCAAACTGAAAATGGAGAAAGTAAAGAAACTCAGTGATTGTCTGAATATCTGTTTATCTCCATTATTTGCACATTTTTCTTTTCAAATAAGCAATGATCTCTTGATTGCCTCAACTGAACCTACTTCCACCACACTTCCAGGCAGTACATTCCAGACACGATCCTGTTTGTTGTGTGAAAAGCTATTTTTCTCACATCACACTTGGTTCTTTTGCATGTCACTTTACATCTGTGATCTCTCGTTCTTGACCCTTTTCTGAGGGGGAACAGTTTTTCCTTATCTACTTCATGCAAACCCCTCATGATTTTGAAAACCTATATCAAGTCTACTCTTAGCTACCTTCTCTCCAAAGAAAACAATCCCAACCTCTCCACCTGTCCTCATAACTGAAGTTCTTCATCCCTGGAACCATTCTTGTAAATCTCCTCTGCACACTCTCTCCAATGCATTCACATCTTTTCCATAATGTGGCACCCAGAACTGTATACAGTACTCCAGCTGAGGTCTAACAAATTCAACATTATCTGTTTGTACTCTCTTTCCCTATTAATAAAGCCTTTTAATACTGTATGTTTTATTAACTGCTGTCTCCACCTGTCTAGCCACCTTCAATGATCTCTCTGCTCCTGCATGTTCTTTAGAATTGTACCTCTTATTTCATCCACCATAAACATCCACTCCACCAGTCCATGTATGCCCTATTGAAGTTCTTTATTGTCTCCCTCACAGATTATAATGCTTCCAAGTTTTGTATGTTCTGTTAATTTTTGAACTTGTCCCCTGCACCCTAAGATCTAGATCATTGATATATTTATAGTTAGACTGGAGAACACTTTGGAACAAAAGAAAGGTGTAGGCCATTCAGCCCCTCAGGCCTGCTCCATCTTCAATGAGATTGTGGTTGATCTTTTGCCTAACTCCTCATACCTGCCTTTGGCCCATAAGCCTTAAGACTTTTGTTTAACAAAATTGTACCTACTTTAGATTTAAAATTAACAATTGATCCAGCATCCACTGCCATTTGTGGAAGTGAGTTCCAAACAACTACCATCCTCTTTTTATGTGGAAGTGCTTCCTAACATCTCTCCTGAATGCTCTGGCCCTAATTCTCAGACTATGTCCCCCTAGTTCTAGAATCCCCAAACAGTGGAAATAGTTTATTTTTACCCTGTCTTTTCCTGTTAATATCGTGAAGACTTTGATCAGATCACTCCCTAACCTTCTGCATTCTAGAGAAAACAGGCCTAATTTTATGTCTCCTCATAACTTAATTCCTGATGTCCAGATATTATTCTTGTAAACTTTGGAAGTGATATAACCAAAGGTCAGTGTAAGATTTTATTTTGTTCTTAATACAATATGAAGCTCGATGATTTGGACAAAAGGTATATTTCTCCAGGCCCCAAAAAAATCCATGACCGTTATTCTTGTTTCCTGTGATACCGACGATTTTTATACCCAATCCATTGTTGAAACAATTTAAAAAAAAAACCTTTTTTCTGCACTCTTCATCAAAGCTCTGTCCATCTTCCTTTCTCTAAATTTTTTTTTTTACCTTATTTTCTTAAAAGCCTTGAATAGGTTCTGCCTCAGTTACATTCTGTGACAAAGACTCTAATGCTCCAGCAGCACTCTACATAAAATACATTTCTCCTAACATTCCTTCCCTCATTCCGTTTAAATTGGTAACTCTTCAACACCGACTTGAGGCAGAGGCAATAGTCTTTATTCAACCTGTAAAAATCCTTCATCATTTAAAATTGCCTCTTGGCCTTTTCTGCTCCATTAGATATAGTGTCATCTCATCTCTTTATTAAAACTATAATTTTTATTATTGTATCATTCTGATTAATCCATGACTTTCAGACTTTCTGTTATGATCTGCCCAAAATTAAAAATGACGCTCGAGTTGTGCCTTATGAGATTATTGTCTCATTACTCTTAAACCTTAAGTTCCTATTTTGCAAACTAAAAACACTGTTGCCCTTTTAACGGCTTTATCTACCTGCACTTGGCAATGATTCATTTGCACTTTTGATTTCTAAAATTAATTAGCTGTATCTGTCACCATACTGGCCATTCCGCCAATGTGACTGTGTGCCATTCCTTTCCAAACCTCTACTTTTGTGTTGTCATTTCTTTATCATACCACTTGTGTTCAAATTGTCTAGCTACATGTTATATTGAGGACAAAATTGGTTCTCACACTGACTCTTAGTTATATGACTTGCAAGTGTTCTCTAATCCAACAAACATAAACACTAACCCTTTGCCTCCTGTTAAACAAGATGCTATCTTTGCTCTTTATATCATGTACCTGAATGTTTGTATTGTGCTACTTATGAAAGTATGCAATGATTATTATAATCCTTTTGGCGCACACTCACTTTTCAAAGATCTGTCTTGCATTTGATAAATGTGCCTTTGACAAATTTAATATATCTGTTCTGAATTATCCTTTGAATTTCAAAATACTTAATTGGCTCTCAACTTACAGTTCAAACAACTTATACACAATTTATACCAGATTAACTGGTATGTTGTCAGATGGTTTATTCTACTTTAAGAAAAGCAATATATAGTGACAACACTGGCACAATGAGACACCTAAAAAATATTAAAAATATGCTTGGAGCTTCTGCTCATATAATATGTTAAACATATTAAATATGTAATGCTAATAAAACAGAATGATGGTGTTAATCTAAATATGAATCCATACTTTAAAGAGATTTATGCAATAATTTAAATTTGTTTTTTTGTGTAGCAGCTTGTCAGACTATGTTGTCCTTACCTGTAGACTTTGATCTGGAGAAAATAATAGGTAAGATATAAAAATTCATGTATTGTTTGAATGTGATTATTGAGACTGACAAAATTATTGAGCTTGTATGTTTGCCCTTATAAGTTGTTTGTCTGCTCTCTTTCTCACCTAAAAATAACAATCTGATTTAATTAATTCAAGCCCTATCTTAAATGAGTGATAAGGACAGTTTAGAAAAGAATAATGCATTTGTCCTCTCTGGATTACCTTGTTACGTAGATGCTTTTACTAAAACGGTCTTTGTCACAGTCACATAGGGTGTCATTTGTGACTGCTAAGAGCCGTTTAGGTACTGTGGCAGGAGCTGACACTTGATTGGAGGGATTCAAACATTGAGTTTCAGGAAATTTGTGAGGAAACAACACATTCAAACACTTTGCAAAAGAAAGCAAGGTTGGATATGAAATGATAGTTTGTAAGGATGGAGAGGTCAAAGTTTGTTCTTGAATATTACAACATTTTGAATACATTTTATCTCTTGGTTCCCTCATGAACAGATGAATCTTCCTTTGTGTCTTTTGATTCAAAAGAAATCACAATGTTTATAAAAGCATAACTATAAGCAGAGCAACCAGAATTGGGCACAATACTTCCCAATTCTCTCTCGATTCAGTATGATGTCCTTTTAATAATATCTTCTTTTCTGTAGAAAATACCACATTACAACAGTGTGGCCTGAATAGTTTCATTTACACAGCATTGCTGAATTTAATACATATTGTAAATTTTAGTGTTACCGTAATCAAGTTTATTTCTCTGTTCAGGTGAACATTATAAATTGGAAGACGCTGCTGACCAATCCCACGAAAGTCTGAGTGCATCTTCACTTCGGAGAAAGCTGTTTATTGATGGTGAAAGAAGCTACTCTGATAGCTCCTCCCTCCCTTCTCCAGAAGAAAGTCCATGTGGTGGACCTGTTCAGCCTCACATAAATCTAAGGTCATCGGATTCTTCACCATTTCGATGCAAGAGCCCGACAAAAACTCCTAGTTCTGTAAGTACGGTACACAGCGTTGAATGTCAGTTTTGGGACACACAAAACAGATTATAAGGGCAAAGAGATTGAAGAATGTGGGGTTTCAATGTGCTATTCTGTGGACTCTAAAATGTGACCACATGCCTCCAATCCTTCACACAATGTTCCTGACTTCTATCTTTGTACATTGACCTCTAGTAACACAACTAGTGCTTTACCACAAAGAAGAAGTGAAATATGTAAATGCAGACTTTGTGAAAGTGCCCTCTCAACAGTCAGTATAGATCAGCATTGGCAAAGTCTTGGCAGTAGTGTGTTATCTGTATGGCACACATCATTCTGAGATATTGCATGGTGCATAGGAAGTGATTATGTTTTTAAAACTATTTGTGATGGCTATAAAATGAGAAATTCTGATGTATGAAATTATCACAAGGAAACTGTGAAAATGTTGTGCCATTTGCTGGCTTAATTGAGTTCATGGTGTTCTGTAGTCAGTTGACGGATGTTCTTATCATAATATAATGACTGACTCTGAAAATAAAATTGCTATGGCCAATTGTGTTGTTAACCAGTAGTGGTTGAAGAATGCCTTTTAGGAAAAAGCCAAAATTTCTAAAAAAGCAGAGTTTGGTATTATGATGACGAAACTGAACTCAGTTTCCAGATATTTGAAGACAAGCCGAGCTTTACTGTGTTTTCACCAAATGGAAGTTCCCTGATTATTGTGTGCTTCCCTTTACTTAGTATCAGGACATATGAAGAAAATCTTTTCTTGAAGTCAGAATGAGAGAGAATCCTCTGGGGAAAAATGTTTCAAGGCATTTTACATGTAATGAAAAGTTAGCTGTTTCTATATTTTTCCGATTAAAATGTCTGTTTCTTTAAAAATAAATTCATATTGTTCTTCTTTCCTGCACTGAAAAGTACTTTACGATTGAAGAAAGGATTCTTGAAGGCTGAAGTTCAGAAAACATTTTCAAATTATCAATCTTGCATTTTTTTTGTGGTTGAGTTTAGAAGAGAGGGGTGGAGCAGTGATGGTAGAGGGTGAATATTATGTATGAATTTAATTTACACTGACAATGCAAATCCTTCCTTTATAGGAAGGCAGTTGAAGAGCCTTGCATTTGTTCCTGTAGTTTAATAGAAGTTAGTCATGTCTGCTAGTGAGAAAATTCTATCAAACCTGAATGATTACAAATGCAGTTTTTGTTTTGAGTCACTGTGATCTGGTCTATTTAGAGAAGTTTTGAAAGCAAAAGATTAATAATATGGCTTAATTCTTTTCACTATAATAATTTTGAGAAAAGCACACTAGACCAATACAAGAACAGAAATTGCTGGAAAAACTCAGCAGGTCTGGCAGTATCTATGGAAAGAAAGCTAGGGTCACTGGACCCGAAACAGTGACTCTGATTTTTCTCCACAGATGCTGCCAGACTTCGAGTTTCCCCAACGATTTCTACTTTTGTTTCAGATTTCCAGCATCCACAGTTCTTTGTTTTTTGTACACTATACTAATAATTAATTGCAAGCCACACAATACAATGTAAATCTATCCTTGTCAATCTTAGGGGCAATTTTCATCAAGTCCCATTCAAGATGCTGTAAGAGCGTGCAGTTTAGGGAGCCTAACAAGCCCCATGTTCCCAGGGAAATCATCACCGAATACTGCATCACCACCTTTGTCTCCGATTGAACCTCAGCTTGACAAAATGCCAGTTTCAGGTTTGAACTTAACATGATTTTGAACTTAAAAATGGTAGTTGTTGTATAAACAGGTCGGGTTGGGTTGAAAGCATTAAACTTTGAAGCTTTAGAATAAATCAGACCACTGATTTATAAATGACTGTTTGTGGCAGGTGCTAGTCAGTATAATTGTATGAGTAACTAGTCATTTTATGTTTTACAGCCATGTAGCATTGACCTAGTTGTTATCTATTAGGAGATAGCAATGTCTCTTAACTTGTGTTACTCTCGTTAACTGAACTTCAGCTAATGTAACATGCTGTTATTCTTTAATAAACTATCACTTGTTCCTCAAGTACATGCTGCTTCCTCTGAAGCCCTCTTCATGGCTAACCCTTCACCACTTAATACTAGTGAGGCCCGTAGACTTGTAGTAGAAGAAGGGATGGTGGCAGTAAATCTACCCAAAGAAGATCCTTCACAATATGGTGCCAGCTGTGGGCAACTCCTACTTTACACTTTTTTAACGTGTTCATTTGTCTTAAATAGAGAATTTAAAACAGAATAGTTTCTCCATATTTACTTTTCTCCCCTCTTCTCCCATACAAATACAAGTGAAAACTTTGTCATACTGGACATGGTCCCTTTCTGAGGACCTCGCAGCATGGTACTTACTTCTTAACGATAATTATATTGATGCTTCTTAAGTTGGCTTGATGCAAGTCAAATTGCTTAAAAAAAAAATGGTGGATAAAACCCTTAAAAGCTCATGCATGTACATTCATTATTGAAACATCAGTTGATTTACAGTTATTGGTCTTACCTTCACCTTAGCATTACAACGGTTATTTTTATGACTTTGTTTGTATATTTACAAGAAAAATTATGGGGTAAGCTTTCATGACTGCTTCTGCTATAAACACCACTGACTGGAACCACAGATTGGAGAATCTGGTTTAGAGATTTGTTATGTAGCTGACTACATTCTTTAAACATTGACCACTTGTTGCAATTTGCTACAGCTCAGTAACGTTCCATATATGCTTTGAGAATCACTTCCAATTCACATCTCTCTAACACACAAGTAGAATGTTTTTCTCCAATATTCACTAATGTTCTGATAAATGTTTATTTGGAAAAGGTCTTTTTTTGCATAACCTTTTTTTTTGTCCCCCTTTATACAGAAGAAAGGAGCTTTACTTCCATGTCTCCTGTTGCTCCTGCTGCAGCTATTTTAGATGGGAATTTTGACCACTGTACAGAATCGCCTTTCATAGAAGGATGTTCACCAATTAAGATGTGTCCACCTATGAATCCCAGACTTCACAGTGACCTTTGTCACATTTCTCCTCAAAAGTTAACTCTTCAGCATGAACACAAAAATGAGGAGAGAACCCATTCTCCAGTACAAGAAATAGATGCAGAAGTGTTCTCTTTATATTTAGGAGCAGAAAATAAAACATGTCTCAATCTCTCGGATGTCAAAGAAAATATAATAGTGCTTCAAGATGAGAATGAGGATCATACTGTTGATATGGCTGACCTAGGAGCACCTGAAGGCAATGATAGCAGTTGGGTAAAAGAATCAGAAGGCAATATTAGTGTTCCAAGGACTAGCTCGACTGGAATTGCATTTAATGTGGATAGCCCTCACATATATATGTCACCTCTTGCAGAAAGCAGTGCTATTCCTTCTGAGAGCATTAGTATGCAGGTAAGGATTATGTTTAGAACAGTTACATTTAAAGTATCACTCCAATTGATTCTGAAGCAATCAATAAAAATAGTTCAGTTTTGCAATTTTTGGCGGAACAAAATTGCTTCCTATTATAGTTGTAGAATAATATAGATTAAAAATATGCATTGTCAATATTGAATACTGTCTGACTATTAACGTATGTGCCACGCTTTTAACATTGTTGTATTGATTTTTTTTTTAATTAATAGGCTGATAGTGGATATAATACACAAACCACTTCTGCAAGCAGCCTAATGGATGCTATTGGAACAGATAGCCAGCTCGGTAAAGAGCATTTGGAAATGCAATCTCTAGTTGGAACTTTACCTTCAAATAAGCTTAATCTAAAATCTAAGGTAATGCTCCTGCATCTATTTTCTGTTTATGAAACAAATGCACGTAACCAAACAAAAAAAAAAATTCGGAGTTTGGTTAGATATAGATTTGAAATTAATATGTTCTAAATACTATAAAGATCATATGTGCCAAACCATATTTTATGATTTTTAAAATTTAATTAGGAAGGCAAAATAGTGAAAATGAACTTAAATTTTCACTATTCTGTGCTGTGATTTTAGATAAGATTGACAGAATAAACTTGCATTTCTGTTCTCAAATCTGTTGCCAGCACTTTTACCTTTAAAAGAGTGATTGTGACTAAATTTAGTGGAGAGGTAAGGAGGAGGGACAATATTTAGTATTTAATGAAGGTCAATGTTGGAGTAAATTAGGTTAATTATATTTGTTTGATATTCTAGACCAGTACTTCTTTGGACTGATCAGCTGCCTCATTAACCAGATTTGGAACATTTAATTTTTGAATTGACAATTGTAGAAATCAATATTTCCTAACAGTTTCTTGTTTCTTATAGTGGAAAAAGTTAATGATAAACTGGTATCAGAACAGAAAATAGCTAATTGGATAAAGAGCATTTCAAATTGTTGCTATTTGCACGTCCAAAGGGCAATGTAAAGATAATTTTATCCATTTTATCGCAACTTGATGAGCTTCTCTGTCCAGTGCAAATTGATAGCATTTTGCAGGAGCAACATGAAACAACTCTTATACATTTTCTAAAAATAATAGGAATATGCAATCAGGAAAATTTAGATTATCTTGAGCATGACTTCTGACAAGAATACCCTCTGATCACAATCGTAACACTGAGCCTTTCCCATAGGCCCTGCTAAACCTAAAAATTATGTAGAATTTGAGCAATATCACAGATTTGGTTGAAGCTTAGATCAAAATGCAGGTGTTTGAGTTACATTTTATAAAGGACAAGAAAGCAAATTCAATCAGATGCTGCTTTTACAGTTAAACACGATTTCTAATGAATATAGAATAGAAAGTCAGACTTTTGCATGTGAATGTTTGAAGAATGAAGCTGAACATACCAAGCTAGATCATTTAGTATGAAGGCTCCAAAGGAGCTTATTACTTAAGAGTACAAGAATAATTTGGACTTGGGAAGTGGAAATACAGTTTCAAAATTAGATGATACCAAATTGTAAGTGCAATTAATAAAATGGAGGGCTGCAAAAACAAAACAGGATCATATTAATAAACTTGCAGAATGGGCATGTAATTGGTAAGTGATCATAAATATTAATAAATGTAAGGTGGTAGGTTTTGTTAAGGAGGATACTTCTTTGTTGGAAATAAGTGCCTAAATGAGATGAAGTAACAAAGATCTGGGGATACAGATACACAAACAAGTTTTTTTAAAAAAGGTGACAGGGCTTAATAAAGACCTTAAGATTAAAGGAAACAAAACACAAGTTTATTTCTAGAAGAACAGAAATGATAGAGCACCTCAAAGAACGCTTTAAACCTTGGTCAATGCTGCAAATTGTTCCGATCTCTTCTAAGTAAGATATAAAGGTGCTGGAGAAAGTGTTCAAAATAGCAAGATGATAAGCGAACTGAGAGCTTACGTCTACTGTGAAAGATTGAACAAACTGGATTCCTTTTCTGCAGAGAGGTAACTTGATAGAGAAAATGTTTCTACTTACAACAGAAACTAGGGACTGTAAATATAAAATAGTCGCTAATTAGTTCAACAGGAAATTCAGAAGAAACTTTACTCCCACAAGAAGTTGAGGCAAAATACATCTGTTTATCTAAGGGAAAGTTGTACAATTACATTAGAAAGAAATAAAAAGATGTGTTGCTGGGGTTTGCTGAGGAAAGATGGGAGGAGGTATGAACAGGGACTTGTTTATAGTAGTAGGTATATCTTACTATAAAGATATCTATTTGATGCATTGTCTGTGAATCAAATTATCTATTTTGTTATCAAAAGAACATTTTGGTCTAACTAGAATTTGGCTTTTTTGTGCGAAGAATAAAATGCATTTCTTTAATTCCAGGATGTCCTTTGCTCGGAGTGTAAAGAGAACAAAGAAGTTATGGGATTGAATTTGGCTGCTAATTCAAATAAACCCTTTCATATCAGTAGGCTGCGTTCATCATATGATATGGTGCTGAGCCAGAACATCTGCTATCTGAATGCTTGGAAAAATCCCTGTGAACAAACACTCAATAGAATTTTTCAAAAGAATGGTATGGAATCTTGATGAAAGCCATCTTAATAGTTTAATCTGTAAAGGGAATATAGAATTGCTCAGGCATAAGTAGGGACCGGGTAAAGGAGATTGTTATTTAGCAACAAGGGATGTTATATTTCACTCTGCACTTTGGAACGTTATGCTTCTTGTTACCTTCACAAATAATGATTCATGTTGATCTGAAATTGTTGCAATTGACTATGCATATGAATTTACAGATTATGGTCTCAAAGTTTAGAATTGACTGTGACAGTCTGTGGTATAGTGTGAAATATAAAAATTTGCTCTTTATAAACTTGTCTTTATCATGCAAACTCTTATTATATTATTGAATTCAAGAAAAAAAAATACCTACCTCTGTAAAATTCCATTTTTAGAAAAACTTCATAATGCAGTTATCAATCTGTCATGTATTGTGAAAATTTCAGCACAGAAGGTGGGCATTTGATCAGTCACACTTTTGCTAGCTCTAGCTCCATGTCAAAAACACCTAAACTTTTCTGTTCTTTTTCAAAGACTGTTAGTACTATACATATTTGTCTAATTTTGTCTTAAATGCTGTGATTGACTTGGTTTTTGTGTTAAAACATGTAATATTCTGATGACCCTTTGTTTATTTGGAAAATATTGTTTTAAGCTCTTTGAATTGAGATAGAATCATTAAGTAATTCTATAGTGAAGGTGCTCATAGTTATCAGCCACCACAATATGATTGAATTTTGCATTCAGCTTGAGGGAGAGGGAAGTGGGTCTGAGATGATAATTGTTTTAAGCATAAATAAGGGCAATTTATGAGGACATGAAAGCGGAGCTTGCTACAATGAATTTCTAAATTAGGTTAAAGGATAGGTCAACAGAGCTATAGTGGTATCCATAGAATAGATTAGTTCCAAGGAAAGAAAAAATCCAAGGGATGAATCCACATCCATGGTTAACTAAAGATGTTAAAGGTAGCATCAAATATGAAGATGCCTATAATTATGCAAAGACAGGTGGTATCTCAAAAATTTGGTCATAATATAAAATAAAAGCAAATAATGATGAAAAAAAATAACAAGGATAGAAAAATTAGACTGAGAAAAAGTTATCCCAATATATAAAGCAGAGTGTAAGAGGTTTGGTAACAGTTTTTTAGATGAGTTAATGAAATGAGTATTGATCCCAAAGGAAGTAAATCTGTAGAATTGATAATGGAAAATGAAGAAATAGCAGAGGAATCAAATAGGTATGTTCCATCAGTCGTTACTATAGAGGATATAAGTGCATCCCAGAAGTAGCAATAAATCAGTAATGGAAGGGAGAGGGGAGCTCAAGAAAATTACAATCACAAGAGAAATGATAGAGAGTAAATTGTTTAAAACTGTCAGCTGACAAGTGCTTGGATCCTAATAGACTACATTATTAGAGCTGAATTTCAGAGGTGAAATTGACCGTCATTGGCATCAAGGCTGCATTTGATAGAGTACGCTGCTAATGAGCCCTAGTAAAACTGGAGTCACTAGGAATCGGGGAAGACTCTGCTAGTTGGACTCCTGTCGAACATGTAGAAAGATGGTTGTGATTGTTGGAGGATCTCTGTCTTGGAACATTTCTATGGGAGTTCATCAGGGTCATGTCTGATGCCCAACCATCTTCAGCTGTGTCAGCAATGATCTTCCCTCCATCATAAAGTCAGCAGTGGGTATGTTCACAACAATTGCACAGTGCTGAGTGCCATTTGCAAATCCATAAATACTGAATATCCAAAAATAACATTTTTGCCAGGCAATGATCATCTCCAACATCAGACCCCTCTACATTAAATAGCATTATCATCACTGAATCCCCCTCAATCGACATCTTCCGGTTAGATCAGATTGATCAGAAACTCAACTGGACCAGCTATGTAAATACCGTGATTGCTACTGCAGGTCAGAGTCTAGGAATCCTGCAGTAAGTAACCCACTTGCTACCTCCCCAAAGCCTGTCCACCATCTACAAGATCCAAGTCAAGTATCTGATGGAATACTCCAAACTTGTGAGGATGAGTGTGGCTCCAACAACGTTCAAGAAGCTTGACACCATCCAGGACAAAGCAGCTTGCTTGATTGGCACCACATCCACAAATATACATTCCCTGTATCACTGATGCTCAGTAGCAACAGTGTGTACTGCCTGGAGGATGGACTGCAGAAACTCACCAAGGCTTCTTAGACAGTATCTTCCAATCAATGAGCACTACCATCGAGAAGGACTAGGGAAGCACATACATGAAAGCTGCAAATTCCCCTCCAAAGCACTCACCATCTTGACTTGGAAACTTTTTGTTGTTTCTTCAGTGTCACTGGGACAAATTCCCAGAACTCCCTTACTAAGGGCATTATCTAAACCAAATGGTTTATCTGTACCAAAGAGATTTCTGCTGTTCAAGATAGCTTACCATCACCTCAAAGGCAACTGGCGATGGGCAATATACACTGGCCTAGTCAGTGATGCCCACACTCTATGAATTATAAAAATAAATCTAGGACTGATAAGTGGCCAATGAGATGGTTAATGCATTAATTTTTATTTTCCTGAACAGGAGGCATAAAGCAGGAAACTAGAAGCCTAGTAACTTAACATCTGTTGTAAGGAATGTGTTAGAAGCTGTTATTAGAGATTTTAGCAGGGCACTTCAGTAAGTCAGAGGTAACATGATTTTGTGAAAGGAAAATTATGTTTAACCAACCTTTTAGAATTCTTTGAAGAATGAATATTTCCTATCAATGAGGGGGAACGTTTGGATGTATTTTGCGTAGATTTCCAGAAGGCATTTTATAAGGTGCCACATCAAAGGTTATTATGGAAAGTAAAAGGTCATGGTGTAGGAGTAGCATTTTGAGATGTATAGAACATTAGTTGGATAACAGGACACAGAGAGTAGGCTTAAATGGTCTTTGTCTGCTGGGAAGCATGTAATAAGTTAGCCACAAGTGCTGCTGGGACCTTGTGTTTAAATTTTAGATTAATGACTTGGATGATGGGATGAAAGGTATAGTTGTCAAATTTACTGATAAGCAAAGATAGATAGGAAAATAAGCTGTATAGATGATATAAAGGGGCCACAAATAATATGGATAGGTTAAGCGAGTGGCAAAGATATGGCAAATGAAGTACAGTTAAGAAATAAAATTGTCTGTTTTGGTAGAATGAATAAAACAAAACATACAATCTAAATGGTGATAGATTGCAGGGCTCTGAGATGCAGAGATATAGATGTCTCAGCGCACAAACTGCATTAGGCCAGTATATAGTGTAGAATTTATTAGGAAAGCTAAGTGAATATTTTAATGTATTGTAGAGGAATTGAAAGCAACAATAAGAGGTTATCTTCACTATATAGACCACTGGTAAGACCATGTTTCGAGTACTCTTGAACAGTGTCAGTCACCTTATTTAAGGATGCAAATGCATTGAAGGCACTTTAGAGAAGATTTACTAGACTAATACTTCGACTAGGTGAAATATCTTATTTGGAAATGTTGTACAGACTAGGTTTGCATATACTGGAGTTAAGAGGCTACTTGATTGAAATATAAAGAATCTGAGATTTTGGACCAAAAGTGCAGGTGGAAATACCATTTCCTTTTATGGGAGAATCTAAAACCCAGGGTCACTATTTAAAAATAAGCAGTCGTTAATTATCATTTATCAATATGTTTGTATTTATAATCTTTGCATTAGTAGCTTTAAACTACTAATGTTGTTTTCTTGAACCTAATTTAATTAGAGGTAGAAATTGTTGGAAAAGCTGAACAGGTCTGGCAGCATCTATGGAGAGTTAATGTTTCAGGTCAAGTGACCTTTCCTCAGAAATGACGGTAGCTAGGATCCAAAATGTTAACTCTGATTTCTCGCCACAGGTGCTGCCAGATCTGCTGAGCTTTTCCAGCAATTTCTGTTTTTGTTTCTGATTTACAGCATCCACATTCTTTTGATTTTTATTTAACCAGAGATAGATTATCTAAAAATATAGAAATGGTGTTTTGTTGTAAATTGGGCCAAAATTTCTGTATCAATTCATGGTAACTAATCAATACATGCTGAATAACTGTATGCAAATCATTTGAATTTTTCCAAGTCTTTGTCTGCAAATGTCTGGGTCAAGCTGATGTTATCAATATTATTTTTGATATTTTGAACTATAATACTTACTACACTCAGTGAAATCAAATAATTTTATACATGATCCGACCATATTTATCTTGGGGTCTAGATACTCATGCAGTGCTTTTAGCATATCAGAGGTTGGGGGGGTGGGTGGTGAAATGTGTATATCATAGACCGTAAAGAATGGGAGGCTGGCCAGAAGAACACTATACACTTTCATTTGGTTATTCCTAAATCATGGGTGAATGTTTCAGCAGGCAATGTTACACAAGTGGAAATAGATGGAATTTCTTTTTTAAATGGAGTGGCATCATCAGGTCAGAACCAGATATGATGCCAAGATTATTAGCATCATAATTTGTTTCAGCCTGAAGCAGTGGCCAGGAAGACAAACAGAATCAGTAAGTCCCTTACAACATTGGAGAAAAAAATCACATTTGGTAACTTCAGAATTTCTGATATTTACGAGGAAGAAACTGTATCATATCCAAGACTGAATGTCAGACAACAGGCAAGGGTAAATCTGTTATGTTGAACAATGTAGAAGTGTTGAGGAAGAAAATTGTGTTAACTGTTGTGTTGGAGAAGACCAAGAAATAAAGTACCACACTCCTAGATTATTTCATTGATTACTAATTGGGACCCTCTCATTAAAGGAGTAGTAGGAACTTTAATCGGAGAGATTGCAACTGGTACCATGGGGCAGATAAGGAACCTATTGAAGAAATGTGGAGAGGGGAGAAAACCCTTGGAACTAGTTTGCAAAAATTGAGGGTTTGAGTTTATTTTGAAAGGAAGTGATGACTAAGTCAAAAGATATAGTAGATGTACAGGGAAGGACTATTTATGATATCACCTAGCACAAGGACACAAAGGTTGGGTACTCAACACTTTTGGAGGAATGGAGTGAAGATGAACAAGATGGGAGGTGAGAATTGAGTTAATGTGTTCATGGTTAGGACATGCATAGTCTTGGGACTTCTAGCTTGTTGGAGAAAGGGAAAGGGTATAAGCAGTTGAACAGACGTTCTCAGTCTTAGTAATTTCTTTTTAATCAACCTGTTTGGACATGTAACGATCCATTTCCGTGGCAGCTGGGACTTGAACCTAGATCTTCTGGCTCAAATGTACAAACTTCTCCTCCAAAGGAGTCTCTATTCGAAGTATAGAAAATTGGAGATTTGTTTGGAGATTGTTAACAGCTATTGTGGTCCAGACCAGTTAGCACAAAGGATTATAGTTTGCAGCCGTGACCCTTGATTAAATACTGACCCTGCTGAAAGTGCACAATCACAGACAAGAACAGAATCAGGTTAAACTCACATAATTAGTGGCCACTTTAGGTCCTAGAGGGCAAAATAAAATCTGAAATAAGAAGTTATTGCTTAGAAATGAGGGTGAGGGATGGAATTTCTTGTTTAAAATTGGATGTTTGATGTGGATTTGGGGTAGTGCACACTGGTTTCTTCTAACTTTGTTCTTTCCTTACAGCAAAATATTCTCCATCCCTACTACGTGATGAGAGACCACGTTTCATAAAACAACCTCTTGAAATGACTGTGGAGGAACCTGAGCCCATCACTGATAACCCCATGCCTGTGTTTTAACTGAGTCATAATACAATATTAAGTAATCTTTGTTGAATTTGAAAGGATTTAAATGAATTTGTAAATGCTACAATTGGCTTGATTAACCTGAAAACATCTGAAGCGCAATTAGAATGAGTGACAAAGAACTTGACCAGCACTTCTGAAAACATTAATTGCATGTAATCAAAAAGATGCTATTGATAAAGTTCCTGAATTTACTGATCAATTACCCATAAAATCATGCATTTAAAGCAGCAGCTTCAGTTTATGCATTGTTTTTTCACTCAAATTTATGCATAAGCAAAAATCCCCAATAGTCATAGTTGTCTTATGGCCAGGTATATAGTGTATTTTTTTTATGTAAGAAAATAAAGAACTTTTTGAACAAAATCTAAAATCGGTGGCCATTTACCATCCCTTCAATGACTTGTCATCTGGCTCTGACTAGAAACATTTAAATCAGGACCTTGGTATTTCTAAGAATTGTTAAATGAGCTTGGATGCACAGAAAAGCTGGTACAATCAAGTTTAAATTTAACATTAAAAATATACTCTATATTCTCTTTAAAAAAATTGCTCTGAATTAAATTTTTATTAAATAGTAAGAAAATCCAATGTTTACATTTTAGACCTAAATGTTTTGTAACAGTGGTCTACTAGCAATATTTTATACATAAATGGAACTACACGTGCCTTTTTAAAATCAATATTTAATAAAAACAAGTTTCTAAATCCTGTGCTTTATTTTCTTTTTACCTTACACTTGAATGCATAATTTATCTTTGCATACTGCAAAAGTAAATTTCAAAACTTTTACATATACGTAGGAGAGTTGCAATAATAGTTTACATAATCCACTCATTGTAGAAATTTAAGTTCACAGAGAAATCATTTTAAAGACCCACAGCAAACTCAATTTTAAGTGTTTAAGAAAACAATCCTTGTTTGTCCATTTTTCTGTAAGTTGTTTTCTCATGCAAACACAAATTTTCCAAATCTTCCCTCCTCTTTTGTTTATCTGCAGCTCACCTGTTAATGTTGCTGCTTAAGGGTAGGACTGTCATTTTATTTAAGGAACACTTTTATACTCTGCTGTTCAATTAAAGCAGCATCTGTTTAACAGATTAGATCAGATGTGGCTCAGTTTAATTACTCTTTAAATTATCCATTAGAACTCCATTTATTTTGCCATTTATCTGAATTATAATACAGGAAGATCAGAGATATTATTTTGAGCTCACAATCACAATTCTCTTGCTTTTATATTCTTTCCATACATGTTTAAGCAGAAGATGGTGGTGCAGATCCCTGGCATTATGTTTGACCCTGAATTGAGCTTCAAATCCCAAATTCTATTATTTTACTTTAATCTCAATATTGACAACACTGGCAATAGCCCATCCAATGAGGTGGGGTTGGAAGGAGTTCTGGCACAATAACAATAAGCAATTTATGCAACAGGTCCCGACAGCATATCGTTTACCTCGCCTAGTTAGAAGGGGTCTCTGAAGTAATGAAAATAGAATTTGTGACCATAACTAGAAACTGTACTTGGTAAAAGTGGATTTCTCCAATAAAATGCAGCAAGTGGAAGTTAATTATCATTTGTAACTGATTTTGCAAATACACGAATCTCACTAACACTCTGCCAAGTAATCATTTATGTGGTGTCACAATACGGTCCACATCTACTCCTACCTTCGTATGCTGGTACCGTAAACATTATCACTTTTGTAGTTAATTTGATTATTCTAATCTCTTTCATTCCATTCTCCAGCGAATTCAATTTGTTCTAAACAGAGCTTGAGAGCTAAGGAATAATCAGCTAACATTTGTTTTCTGCATGCTGTTATTACAGCCTCCCTACTCCCCTTCACAATAAGTGTCCTCATATTTCATCACACCAATCTGTGCATTTCCAGCATTTTGTCTTTCCTGTCATCTACAAAATTTTCCCAAACCGAATACTTTCTAAGTTACCAACTTCATGCACTCTTTGAACAACAAAAATTACAACAAAGCTTCATCCACTCTCATTATAATGCAGTTCCTACGAGTTCAACATGGGAATACAATGCTGCAGTGGTAGTGCCATTTTACTAATAATTTAAAGCCCAGGGCTAACACCTGAGGGACATGGGTTGAAATCTCACTATAGCAGGTGGAATTGAAAGTGAATCTCTGTAATGGTGCTGTGAAATTACTAATAATTGATGTAAAAACCCACGTAGTTAATTAATACCCTTTAGCGAAAGAAATCTGCCATCCTTGTCTGATCTGGTCTACATGCAACTCTATTTCTGCAGCAATGTGGTTGATGTTTAACTACCCAAAGGCAGGTGAATAAATGATGACCTTTCTAGTTAAACCTACATCCAAAGAAAAGTGTAATTAAGTGTAGATTTTTTAATTACACTTTTCTTTGGATGTAGGTTTAACTAGAAAGGTGTAATTAAAAAATCTACAATCTATATTTGCAATTATCTCCAAGACAGTAAAGGTACTTTATTGATGAATCAGTAGCTTTTTCCTAGCTGTACTGACTGAACATCACCTTTGTACTGTAAACTAAAATAAGAGTCGAAGGCATTAATGATGTAGTCATATTTTGTGGTTTCTTCAATTCCGTTTAATCAGATTGCTGTCAGCACTCTGGCTGATTGCACACTTTTTGGATACTGATTGAAACTGGAAGTGGTCTGGTACCTTGTGAAGCAGCAGCACCAATTAGTCTAGTGCTTCGCTTGGATAGGGAGATGGTGCTGTAGTGGAAATATCACAGGACTAATAGTCCTGAGCCCAAGGCTGCACTTGTATTGCAAAATAGGAGCTCTACCTGGATCATGAAGTTATTATCTTTGGTCAGGAAACAAAACTCCAATGGAAATTATTGAAAATTAAATTTTAGAAGTTTCTGGTGCTTTTTTGCATGTTAAGACATAGCTAAGAGTAACTAGTGCTGGACAGAATCTGTGAACACCAGACAGGACATAACAGAATATCATGAGAAGTGGGTTCAAAAGTCAGTACAGTTGATATCCAAGTATCAGTTTCTGAAGACCTAGAGATGCTGAATTTAACAGAAGTTGCAGAAAATTGGTGGCTCTTTGTTTTATAGCCAAGGCAGTAGTAAAAGACAAACTCACATTTATGTAACATTTTCCAAAACCACAGGACATCAGAAGCACTGTCAATTTGTTTTCAGTACATATTTTTCATGTATTGTATAGACTGTGTAACTTAGGGAACAATTTTACAATACATGTTGGTAAGGCAGGGATTTCCTGCATGCAAGTTTGGATTTCCCAAGCCCTTACAGGATTATCCAGGTTGTCAGAGAACTTAGAAGCAGGATATTTGAATTATTTGAACTGTTCCATAGTCGTCAAGATGGATTCAGATAGGATTTGAATCCTAATATACAAAATGATCAGAGATCCTATCCTACATTTACTAAAAAAACTCAGACAACAAGTGTGCTGGCTGGATAATTGACTGTGATAGATTTAGATTCAGGTGGCAATTCATACAATCCTTTCATTTCACCTTTATTGTACCTTCTTCACAGTCATTTGTTGGATAGAAATTGAATACTGCTGTAAAAGTACTGTTGAAACTTTTAATCTTTGCACCTAATTTGCAAGTAGTATCAAACCAAAGGGAAAACACATTGTACAGTATAAACGTTTTCCCATTACTGTGACCGTTCTTGCAAATTGTCCTAATTTTGCTGTTCCCACTACTAAAAGAATAAAAATGTAATGAAAATACTGTTGTTTAATGAAAGGATTAAAGTCAGTTTACAACACTTTTTAAAAAGAAACTTTACTTTTCCACATTCTGTTGCAGCATTTTAAAAGGAGAAAAATCAGTGCAAAATTGGAATTGAACTTGCTCTGCTTAAATTGTTGGACATTTAGCATGGAAGTTAATTTGAAACCTTCGCTTATAGCAAACAATTCTTTGAAGTGTGACCAGGGTTAGTTTTTAAATTGGTCATGTCATGGTCTTCAAGAGACAAATCAGTGTGATTACTGTCAATGTACTGCACTTCTTGCTGCAGTATAAAGACCAATCTAAACAGCTTGATATACACATAATCCAAAATCAGGCCTCCTTTAGTCCTTGTCCCACCTAACCTTTACTCAAAAAAGTATTCCATTTCTGTTCAAGGGTCACAGACCTGAAGGATTAACTTTTACTTCTCTCACCGCAACTGCTGCCACATTCTCCCGATTTTTTGAAATCAAAGCAGAAAATACTGGAAATATACTATAAATTCTATTTTTAAAAATGCAAAAGTGTATAAAAATTCAACATTTTATTCAAAACAATAACTTCTTGTAATATAAAAAACATGTAAATCATACAAATGATTTTATGTATTATACATGTATAATTATCTTTACTTAAAACAGACATTTTATGTTAAACGAACTGGAACACATTTAGCCAGAGTGATAGCCAAAAAGAGTGGAACTTTGTTAGTTTAGCTTAGCTTTCTTCATCTCGGGTTCTTCAATACTGGTATTCTCCTGTGCTGTATTTCTTGGAACACTCACTCCGGGAATCTATTACAAGAAGCAAATTCATTAAATAAATCTACAAAACTTTTATCTTGAGGTCTTTCAAATGCTGGATAGGTGGAGTGAACAGGTTCTATAGGTTGACACAAAGGAAATCTGGGTTCTCCACATCTAATTTTGAACCGCATTGTTTCTTTTGCCTTGAGGTAAAATTGCTAATTGGCGAAAGGCAATGTTTTAATGATTTCTTTTCAATAAATTTTAAAAAAAGGACGTATGCCGCAAACAATATATGGAAGCAATTTAGGGTCTGATGAGAAGTTAAACTACCAATAATTATTTAACCTTCCACATAAACAGCACCAAGGTATGTTTCATAAAGAACATGGCAAGTGCGAAACAATCTCTATGTTGTAATGAATAATGGTGTGGATTGGGGACTTTGATGAGAAAACATACTAGTTGGAACAAAACATAAAGATACAAATTTCTAACAAATGCTCTCCAAAACGTCACAAAAATGCTACTTGACAATAAATCAGGCAAACAAAGGGGGTAGGATTTCAGTCACAATGCAAAGAGTTACTCTTTGACTATGCATGTTTTAACAAGATAACAGATTTCTCTGTCCAAACTGCATGTACTGACAGTGACACCAATCATCCTCATGTATTTATCCTCCAGGAATAGACCACCTGTTAAGTGTGAATTGGCTCCCTCCCTTTTTTTTGGAAAATAACACAGGAATATATAATCTGGCTTTTCAGCCCTGGCATCGAACACAATGTAAAGAGTTCTTTACTCAGCTGCTCTCAATCGCCTATTTTTCCTACTATGTTCATCAAAAGCATTCCATACATTCTACTTAAATGGAAGGATTCAGAATCTGGGCAGAAGTGATCATTTTAAAATTAACCACGAATATGCCAGAGGTCAGAAAAACTAAAGAGCAAGCTAGATTGTTTGATGTTGATATTGCAATTTAAAAATTACAAGCACTAATACAAACATTCAAAACCTGTTTTTGCCTTTTTTTGTTGGTTCCCACATGATTCTAATTAAAATTTAAAAAGGGGCAGAGGCGTGCACAGGATACATGTGATCTCACAGTGGCAGATGCTTTCCATTGGTAAAAGATGCCATCAGCTGACAATGAATCAGGTACAGGTCATTTATAAAAGAGTCTCCTGGTCAAACAGGGGTGTCTGTTTATCATGGCCACAATTTTCCTGTCCAAATACATTTCCATTATTACAAGAGTTTACATATCAAATGATCAGACATCTGCAAGGTACAGTTTTATTTAAACTGAAAACTTACCACTGGCTCGACCAGTGCCATTCGAATCTTCTGGTGTTGGACATTTGATGCGTCCAATGTGATTGTCACGGTTACCTTATCAAACATATTGAATATTATGCCTTCTACTGTTAAAGATGGGACCTGAAAGAACAATAATAAAGATAAAAATAATAAGGTCTGTATTTTCTAAGTCTATTTGCAATATTGAATTCACCAGTTTGGAACATCCTAATTGCTGCATATGCAGCTGGATATTTATAAAGGAAAAGAATTTTAGGATAAAAAAGTAATATTTTTCTTTGACTTATAAAACCATCATAGGGTCATTGGGTTCTCTCATGTCTGGCTGATAGTTTTTGACTCCAATCCAATAGTATCATCTTCCCTTTGGAAGTGCGTTTGCAAGTGTGTTTAAAAGTGTGAAGTGATTCATTTTGGAAAGTCGAATTTGAATGCCGAATACAGGGTTAATGGCAGGATTTTCAGCAGTGTGGAGGAACAGAGGGATCTTGGGGTCCACGTCCATAGATCCCTCCAAGTTGCCACCCAAGTTGATAGGGTTGTAAAGAAGGCGTATGGTGTGTGGGCTTTCATTGGCAGGGGAACTGAGTTTAAGAGCCGGGAGGTTATGCTGCAGTTCTATGAAACCCTGGTTAGACCACACTTGGAATATTGTGTTCAGTTCTGGTCACCTCATTATAGGAAAGATGTGGAAGCTTTAGAGAGGGTGCAGAGGAGATTTACCAGGATGCTGCCTGGACTGGGGGGCAGGTCTTAAGAGGAAAGACTGAGGGAGCGAGGGCTTTTTTCATTGGAGCGAAGAAGGATGAGAGGTGACTTGATAGAGGTGTACAAGATGATGAGAGGCATAGATAGAGTGGATAGTCAGAGACTTTTTTTCTCAGGGAGGAAATGACTACTACGAGGGGGTATAATTTTAAGGTGATTGGAGGAAGGTATAGGGGAGATGTCAGAGGTAGCTTCTTCACACAGAGTGGTGGGCATGTGGAATGTGCTGCCAGCTGTGGTAGTGAAGTCAGATATTTTAGAGACTTTTAAATGACTCTTGGATAGGCACATTGAGGATACTAAAATGTAGGGTATGCAGGGTAGATTCATCTTTGTAGGATCATAGGGCGGCACAACATCGTGGGCCGAAGGGCCTGTACTGTGCAGTACTGTTCTATGTTCAATGATATCCTGGTAATCTGTTTGCATAAGCAACAAAAAAAAAAAAAAGAGATGGATCCAACCAAGTCTTCTGAAAGAAAATAGGTTTATATGAAATTACATGAGGGTTAATTAAGAATACCAAGCATATTATACTAAAGGAAAATAAAATTAGTTGTAAAAGGATGAAATGAAAGTTATGTACCTCTTGGTTGTACTGCAACTTTGGGGATTGTTTGCCTTTCTCTTCAAATAAGACAGTACCCTCCAAACCAAACTTTGGAATGAGGACCACAATGGCATTCTTTTTTACAAACAGGACATAGCCAACTTCATCAACAATTCCTTTGCTTTTAAAGAATAACTGCAATAACATTAGACAGAAAGAATTTAGAACCTAAAGGCAAACAAATTTGAGACACAAAAGCTGATTTGGCATAATAACTGAACTTTCAATAATAAAAAACAAATTTGCTTGCACTTGACAAAATCAGGTTATTGTGTCAAAAGAATGGGAAAAAAAACGCCTTATGGACATTTGATCACGTCTTTGCAGAGCTGTTACGTACGAATAAATGTTGTTTGATGCACAAGTTCTGCAGTTGTCTAATTTTAACTACAACAGGCTAAAGCTTCTGTTGCATAGATATATTACAAATTTTTTAATGATTTTGGTCGGATTGTAGGAAAGACAATTACAACAAAAACATATTTAATAAATATATTTGGTTTAGCCAGCTGGTAAAAATCTTCCAAAACAATAATCAACAACAAAATTACTAAAATTCAAGTGATCGTTTGAATCTTCAAATAAGGCTAATCCACTAAGTTGAACAGTTTCGAGGTACAAAATGTTGTTGTTATATTAATTTTTACCTGAGTATGGAATGCCACAGAAGCCCGCTGAGAATACTGTGCCATTTTGTGACGATAGTTAAGGTTATTACACAAAGCTTGTTGTTTATGCTTGTCCATGAGATCTGGGTAGGTAGAATCTGCATTAATTGCCACAGCCAAAAGACGATGTACTATTACATCAGAATACCTACAGAAAGGCAAACACAGACATCACAAGTGACTAAGTGATCAAAACCCAAAGAGGGTTAGTGAAGCTTTCCAACATCATATTATCGATATCCAATACAATACGGGATTCAAACAGAAGACTAGAATTATATTTGTGCAGGGATCACTATAATACTTTTTTTTTTTTTAAAATATATGAATGACATTTACTCAGTAAATACTCCAAAAAAAACATATCTGATGCTTGATCAGATCATGCAATAAAGTTAAAATTATTTTTGAACTAGTAAATTAAATACATCCAACTATCTCACTGGTGGCAATGTTCATCTAGGACAGGAATTCTTATAACTTCAACGAGGTTCACAGTAATTAAGTGAATTTAGAAGAAAATGCTGTCTCAATAAGACGCTTATGCATGAAACTCCTTTTCAACACAAGGCGTAAATTCTTCTCTTTCCGTCATTGGTTACTAATTTTAGACTGAAGAAAACACAAAAGCACAAGTAATGAGCTCCCCTCCATAACAAGGATTTCCTGTCCACTTGGATTGCAGCTATGTGGACATTATGTTTCCGCTAGCAGGTAAAACTAGGACTAGAGGGCATCGCCTCAAAATAAAGGGAAGCAGATGTAGGACTGAGGTCAGGAGGAACTTCTTCACCCAAAGGGTTGTGAATCTGTGGAATTCCCTGCCCAGTGAAGCGGTTGAAGCTACCCCGCTGAATGTTTTTAAGGCAAGGCTAGAAAAATTTTTGAACAGTAAAGGAATTAAGGGTTATGGTGAGTGGGCGGGTAAGTGGAGCTGAGTCTCAAAAAGATCAGCCATGATCTTATTAAATGGCGGGGCAGGCTCAAGGGGCCAGATGGCCTACTCCTGCTCCTAGTTCTTCTGTTCTTATTAGCTTCATTCATGTGCTAAACATCACAAAAGAAACTTATTACAAGATCCACACCTTCTGATTGGTGACGTGAAGTGAGTATAGATAGGTGAAGCCAGACCAAAGTGATGAAAGTCGGTATCCATTCCAGAGCAAAAATAAACTGCCTGCATCATACAACGTGTTGTCAGGATTCGCAGGAGTGTATTCAAATATGGGGAACCAGGAACTTCAGCTTTATCCAGAGAATCTGCTAAGGCTTTGGCTGAATCAGTCTTGACATCTAAATTCTAAGAGGAAACAAATCAGGCACCATTGAGTTTTTTTTTCAGCTTAAAAAAAAACTGTGCATCTGCATGTTACTGCTATGTCTGCATAACAGATTAATATTCACATTCTACCTGCATTCGTCATTGCACTTCATGAAGTAGACATCTACCGAATTACTTTTAATTGAAATATGTCCCAGGTATTTGCAAATGGCTTGGTCACAAAGACTCTGACACTGGTCACCCCCCACCCTGATCTCATTCAGAAGATTTGTAAATTATTTTACAAGGCCCTATTAAAAAACACATTTATTCAAATTCTAGGAGGACTGAGAACAAATGTAGTGGTAGTAGAAGATAGTATAGTGGGGGATGGACAGTATTTTGTGCAGCCAAGAGGGCATGTCCAGAAAGCTATTTGCCTATATAGTGCCAGGGATTTAGACACCTGCTCAAGGCTGGAAGGGGTGCAGCAAATATTGTCCATACATGCTTTACCCAGAAGTAGGATTAGGAAAGAAATTCTGCTTAGGTAATATAAGGACTGAGGCACTAAATTGAAGTGCAGAACCCCAAGGGTAATAACCTCTTGATTATTACCTGAACCATGTGCCAAGTGGCATAGAATAGATAAAATTAGTGAAATAAACATATGGCTCAAAGATTGGTGTGGGGCAAGTGGGTCGTGGTTTCTGGGGGCACTGACATCAATACTGGAGAAAGTGGGTACTGTACAGTTGGGAGTGTCTGCACCTGAACTGTGCTGGGACCAGTGTACTAGCAAGCTGTATAACTAAAGAAGCAGACAAGGCTTTAAACTGAACAACACAAGACAGAAATCAAGCTTGGCTAGAATCAGCATATAAGGGGATAAAGACAAGGCAGGACAGCAAAATATATAATGGAAAATTAAATCAGAGAATACCAGGAAGGGACAGAGAGAACAAACCTAAGAATGCATCAAAAGTCAAGACGAGATGTCACATATGAATGCATGTTGCATTCATATCAAAGTAAACAAATTGACTGTACACATTAAAGTAAGTATGATTGGATAAACATTACAGACAGATAGCTATGTGATGACAAGCATTGGGTCTTGAGTACTCGTTTTGCATAATGGGAAGTGAGTAATTAATAACCTCACAGTAAAGGCATCCCAAATAGCAGCGACAACAATTTGATAGGATTTTACATTCAATTTGAAAGGGAAAAAGAGTGGGTCAGTTATTTCAAACTTACGTAACGGTTACTGCACAGGTATGAAAGCTGAACTAGAATGGGGGATACTACGCTGGGGACTAGATCAATTGAAAAGCAATGGCAAACATTTATTGGTTTATTTCATTTAAAAAAGTATATTCTTATTACAAAGAAACATTTTAACAGGAAGACCCATCATCCATGGTTAACTAAACAAGTGAAGGAAAGTATCAGACTTAAGCAAAAAAACATGCAATCGCACAACAACGAGAAGCAGGTTGAATGACTGGACAGAATATAAAAGCAGCAGAGAATGACTAAAAGATGAAATCAAGAGAAAGAAATTAGGAGTATGAGAAGGTAGAAATGTAAAATAAAAAGGAAGTTTTTCTACAGGTATTTAAAAAGGAAAAATAAAGAATGAGCAATGTGAATGTTGGTCCTCTAGTCAGTAAGAATGAGAAATTAATAGTAGGTAATAAAAAACAGGTGGGTGAAAAGAACAAATATTTGGTTTTTGTTTTCACAGTATTAGCTGGGGTACATCAGGAGATTAAAAGGAGGAAGGAATTTAGTAAAATGATAATTACAAGGGAAGTGGTGCTGAGAAATTTAACGGCGACAGAATGATAAATCTCCAGGTCCAGTTGAGCTTCATCCTAGGGTCTTCAGAGAGATAGTTAATGACCCTGTAGATATATTAGTGTTAATTTTCCAAATCTTGCTAGAATCTGGAAAGGTTTAATCAGATTAGAAAGTATCAAATAATTTTCCTTTACTCAAGAAGGGAGGGACAGAGAAAGGAATCTACAGACCAGTTATCTTCTCCATGACGGATGTCAAGTTATCAGAACTGATTATGAAGATTATAATATCTGGACACTTGGGGGAAAAACCTCAGGCTAACTGGAAGGGTTATCTTGCTTTTATGGAAGGAGAATTATATTTGACCATGTAAGTGAGATGAAATGCTTTGAAAGAAAAGATCTGCTATGGATAAAGGGGAGCTGTTAGACACACTATTCTTGGAAATTGCAGAAAGCACATCAGAGGTAAATTCACAAAGTAGAGGACCATGGTGTGATATCATAACATGGGTACAAAATTGGCTGGCCGGAAGAAAGCAGTATGGATAAATTGGTCTTTTTCTGATTGCTAGGATGTGACGAGTGGAGTACTGCAGGGGGCTGTACTGGGACCTCAGCTTTTTACAACTTACATACATGAATAAAAAAATGTTTGGAGAGATACAGACCAAGTGCAGGCAGGTGGGACTAGTTTAGTTTGGGATTACGGTCGGCACGGACTGGTTGAAGGGTCTGTTTCGGTGCTGTATGACTATGACTCGGATGATGAGATCAAAGGTAAGGATGATAAATTTGAAGATGACAAAGATAGAAAAGAAAGTACACAGTGAAAAGGACAGAAAGATGTTCCAAACAAAAACAAAGAAGTTGAGTGACTGGGCAAAAATCTGGCAGATGGAGTATTATGTGTTATTATGTCAAAGTTATTCACTTTGGCAGGAAGAATTAAAAATAAAACAGAGTATTAGTGAATGAAGAAAACTAATAAAATCAGATATGCAAAGAAATCTATGTACACCAAAGTTAGTATGCAGGTACAGTGTGGAACCAAGACAGTCTATGGCATGTCATCCTTTATTACAAGAGGAAGTGAACACTAAAACAAGTTTTGCTTCATTTATTGAGGGCATTGGTGACATCCAAATATAGTTTGCAGTTTTATTCTCCTTATTCAAGAACATAAATTGGAAGTAGTTCAGAAAATGTTTATTAGATTGATATCTGAAATGAATGCATTGCCTTGTGAAGAAAGAATGGATAGACTGGACTTGTCTACACGCTGGTTGAGAAGAGTGAGGAATGACTTAATTGCTGTGTCTAAGAACATGAAGCACAAAAGGTTATGTGGGGCAGTGGTAGCATCCCTATATCTGAGCCAAAAGGTCCAGGTTCAAATCTCACCTGACCTGGAGGTGTGTCACAATGTCTCTGAACAGGTTGATTACAAATGGTGTTTTCCTTAGGGCTCTTGTGGTACAGTTGTAGTGTCTCCACCTCTGAGCCTAGATACCCAAGTTAAAGTCCCACTCGCTCCAGAGGTGTGTAATACCAACTCTGAACAGGATGATTAGATAAAACATCTAGAAGAATCTGAATGATCTCAACAAGTGGAAGAAGGTCACTGAATATTTGTAAGACAGAGATAGATTCTTGTTAGACTAGGAAATCAAAAATTATCTGAGATAGATGGGAATAATAATTCAAGACACAAACAGATCTGCTGTGGTCATATTAGTGAGAAGGAGGATCAAGGAGGCTAAACAGCCCACACCTGCTCTTAAATCGGATGATTGTATGTATGTTAGTAAACTTTACCTTGTATTGTTTCTACACTGGAAACAATAGAATCCATAAATTAGATCACCTAAAAGTCATCCTCCCATATTTTTATAATACTGATGAAAACACCAACCTCATCCAAAACAACAACATCAAAACTTATAACATCAAATTTGTATTCAGCATGGGATATCAGGAAAGAATAAATCATACACTATTTCACTCAAAAAACAGGCAGAATGTTGTGCAATTGAAATAATTTTTTATACTGCTTATTCAAATTTGCTCCAACAGATGTCTCATATGTTAGTAACTTGAAGTCTCATTCAATTAAGACAACATTTGGAACAAGCATAGTACAAAGTTTGATTTATTTGCTCACCTTGGATTTTGCTGCTTTGACAAGAATGTCATAGTTTGACGGTGGGGGAGCTGGATGTTTTCTGAGTAAAGCACATTCTGAAAACTCTTCATAAATTTTCTTTGCAACGGAAATATTGGCCAGCAACATGAATTCTTCTACCATTGAATTAGTTTCTCTGTAAATTAAATTAGAAAAAATGTTAACAAATACTTCAGCAAGAAGGTTTAAATGGAAGTTGGAGAATCTATCATACTGGACATTTATTTAATCAAACACAGAACATCTGATGCTGGAGATCTGGAACAGAAGCAGTAATTGCTGAAGAAAAGAAACTCAGCAGGTCTGGCAGCACCTGTGGGAAGAAAGCAAATATAACATTTCAACTCTGGTGACTCTTCATCAGAACTGTTAGCAGCTCGGAAAAAAGTGGTATTTAAGCCGAAGCCAAAATTGGGTGGGTGGGCGGGGAACGAAGTGGAAAAGTGAGTGGATAGGTGGAGACAGAGCCAGGAGTGGGGGGTTGAGCGGGGAGAGAGCGAGCAAGTGAGCATGAGAAAGAGAGAGAGAGAGCGCGAGAGCGAGAGCGAGATAGATAGATAGATAGAGACAGACAGAGAGACACAGACAGACAGAGAGACAGAGAGAGAGAGAGAGATACTGAGACACAGACAGAGAGACAGCACGCGATATGAAAGGAGCAGGTAGATAAGGGGATTTTGGATTGCAGGTGTTAGGGGTGCTCCATGACAGTACAACACAATGACTGACAAAAACCCCAAGAAGCTTTTAGTATGTTTAACAGGGATTACAGAGTGTGGAAAAGGCTTGTGCTCTCAGCACTTAAAACAATAGCTGTTTGTTAAATTTCAATGTGCAACATTCTTTGCTATTCCAAAGATAAAAATATTTCATACCAATTAGTTAATTCTCAAGTTTTTTCTAATCAGTTATAATACTATAAGTAGGTTTTAATTATGATTCTTCAAGAAAATTCCAGATATAGCTTCCTAATAAACTGTAAATTTAACACACACACATACATAAAATCACTAAACAAACATTAGAAAGGTTTAAAAACTAATTATGAGTGATAGATAGGGGCCTCCCTATCTCTTATCAAGGACAGTGGCTAAGAAAGTTGGAATGGTGGGAAACCTCAAAGAAGACTCTGTAACAGTCTTGTACAAAATAGCAGAGAAAGTCATTACAGTTGGGAGATAAAAGGTCACAAATGGCCATGGAGTGTTCAGTTTCACATATACCAAATGGGGCCACTCAGATCACAGCAACAAGTGTTTACTAATAGAGTGATGTACTGGAAACCCAATCATAGTTGAGCAACTCAACACTAATTAACCAACAGTATACAGGGGAAGGAAGTACATGCTGCCACATTAATGTTACAAGAAAAATGTAAGAAGACAATGTACTTATATTTAAAATTAGAGCGTCATTGACTTCTTCTGATCCGAGCTGAAGATTAAGGGGGTAATTGGACCCTCACATTAAGGCCAGATTTGGGGTAGTCTTTGGCCTCTCCCTGCATCAGTGGAACGCATCAATAAATTATCACATGACTTGAACTCTGTTGTGTCCTGATAAGTTATTACCTCCATAAACTCGTTCCAACAGCAAGCCAGGACATTTATCTAGCAAGTGATACAAATTGGTATGGACGACTGCAGCTCCAAATAAACTTGAAATTAGACATCACTCTGGACAAGCAACCCAATTTACTGGCACATATTCCACCACCAGCTCACTATAGCTGTCATTGTGCACGATCTACAAGACACACTGCAGCAACTCACCATTGACTATAGGAATGTGGATACATGATTGGCTGAATGATAGCAAACAGAGTAATGGTTAATACATATTTTTCAAGTTGCAGGATGATACGTAGTGAAGTTCTTCAGGGGTCAGTATTGGGACTTAGACCTTAAAATGCAGGTGACAATTTTAAACTTTCCCAACACAAAAATTGGAAGAATTGTAAACTGCGTGAGGAAGACAGTGTAGAACTTCAAACAGAATTTGACAAGTTGGCGGACTGACCTTTATCTTCCACCTATCTGCTCAATGTGGAGAAGTAGGAGATAATAAACTTTAGTACAAAGATCATGGAGACACAGTATAAAAGAAAGGAGACTATTCTAAAGAGAGTGCGGGTACAAACAGACCTAGGTATATTTGTGCATAAGTCATTACAAGGTGGGAGGACAGGAGGAGAACCATTAGCAAAGCATTTAGTATTCTAGGGTTCATTAACAAGGGCATCTAGTATTCAAGAAGGGAAGTTATGCTGAATTTACATAAGACACTGGTTAACTGTAAGCTGGAATATTGGAGTATCTAGGTGCCCCACTTTATGCAGAAGATGAACTCAGTGGGGAGAGTGTAGAATAGCTTTACAACAATGGCTTCAGGGATGAGAAACGTCAGTTATGAGGACTTGAGAAATTGGTACGGTAATCCTTCAAGATGAGAAGGCCGAGAGGATATCTGATAGAAGTTTGCAAAATCATGGGGAATTTGTTCAAAGTAGATAGGGAGAAACCATTCATAAACAGATCGAAATGCATAATGCACAGTTTTAAGGTGTTTTGCAAAAGAAGCAAATGTGAGGTGAAAAAGAAAACTTTTTTTCAAATAGAGAATGGTCTGGTTTGGAATGTAGTGTGGTGGAGGCAGGTTCAACTTGCGGATGACACCAAAGTTGGTGGAGTTGTGGATAGTGCGGAAGGATGTTGCAGGTTACAGAGGGACATAGATAAGCTGCAGAGCTGGGCTGAGAGGTGGCAAATGGAGTTTAATGTGGAAAAGTGTGAGGTGATTCACTTTGGAAGGAGTAACAGGAATACAGAGTACTGGGCTAATGGTAAGATTCTTGGTAGTGTGGATGAGCAGAAAGATCTCGGTGTCCATGTGCATAGATCACTGAAAGTTGCCACCCAGGTTGATAGCGTTGTTAAGAAGGCGTACAATATGTTAGGTTTTATTGGTAGCGGGATTGAGTTTCGGAGCCATGAGGTCATGTTGCAGCTGTACAAAACTCTGGTGCAGCCGCACTTGGAGTATTGTGTACAGTTCTGGTCACTGCATTATAGGAAGGATGTGGAAGCATTGGAAAGGGTGCAGAGGAGATTTACCAGGATGTTGCCTGGTATGGAGGGAAGGTCTTATGAGGAAAGGCTGAGGGTCTTGAGGCTGTTTTCGTCAGAGAGAAGAAGGTTAAGAGGTGACTTGATAGAGACATACAAGATGATCAGAGGATTAGATAGGGTGGACAGTGGGAGCCTTTTTCCTCGGATGGTGATGGCTAGCACAAGGGGACATAGCTTTAAATTGAGGGGTGATAGATATAGGACAGATGTCAGAGGTAGGTTCTTTGCTCAGAGAGTAGTAAGGGCAAAATAGTTCCTGCAAAAATAGTAGACTCGCCCACTTTAAGGGCATTTAAATGGTCACTGGATAAACATATGGATGATAATGGACTTCAGATTGCTTTCACAGGTCGGCGCAACATCGAGGGCCGAAGGGCCTGTACTGCGCTGTAATGTTCTATGTTCTATGTTCAACTGAGATATTTAAGAGGGCATTAGATGATTATTTAAATAGTAATGATATGCTGAATTATGGGAAGTGTACGTAATTTTGACACAACATCAAAATGTTTAGAGGCGGTGCATACATGATGGGCTGAATGGCCTCCTTCTGCATCATACCAAGTCTCCAAACACACAACTTCCACTGCCTTGGAAAGGAGCAACAGTAGAATCCACATTATAAGTGAGATGTGATTACACTGGGCAGGTTACAGAGGAGATTTATCAGGATGTTTCCTGCGCTAGAGAGTTTCTGTTACGAAGACAGAAGATTGAGTAGGGAAATGATTGAAATGTATAAAATTACGAAAAGGGACAGATAGACAAGACAGGAATGAACCTTTCCCTTTGACAGAGGGATCAATGATCAGGGGCATAGATTTAAGGGAAGAGGCAGAATGCTCAGTGAAGATATGAGAAAAAAAACTTTTTGTTTTCAGTGGCAGCAGCACGAGCCAGGGTGCTGATGGGAAGGTAAGGTTGTTTTTCCTGTATAAAAACTTACCTCGTGCAGCAGCGGCCTTCTTGTTTTCAGCGGCGGGTATGTGGAGAGAACACGAGCCAGGAAGGAACTAATATATTCGGGCATTGGCTAAACCCGAAACACTACACGTGTAGTGTCTCCCACCCATCCTCCTCCTCTAACAAAAAAAAGACTGTGTGGAGGGTCGGTAAGGTAAGGCTTGTTTTTTTATTATTCTTATGGAAATCTACAGTAGAGGGAATGGAAGCTCGGGCAGTTGCATGCTCCTCTTGCAGGATGTGGGAGGTAAGGGTCACTGCTGGTGTCCCCCTGACTTCACCTGCGAGAAGTGCACCCAACTCCAGCTCCTCAAAAACCACGTTAGGGAACTGGAGCTGGAGCTGGATGAACTCCGGATCATTCGGGAGGCTGAGGGGGTGAGAGAGAGGAGTTATAAGGTGGTCACACCCAAGGTACAGGAAAAAGGTAGCTGGGTGACTGTCAGGAGGGGAAAAGGTAGTAGGTAGACAGTGCAGGGATCCCTTGTGGCCATTCCCCTCAATAATAAAGTATACCATTTTGGACACTGTTGTTTGGGGGGGGGGGGGGGGGGGGGGG